GAACAAAAGATAAACAAGATATTCCGATGGATGCTGTGCGAGCGGCACAGAATGTTCCGACCACATTCATTAAAAAAAACTCACGCTGCAAAACTTTGCTTTTAAATTCGAATGTCATGGGCGAAGATGGACATTTAATTTTCGGAACTTTATCGCTCAAATAAAATCGGATATCTTACTTTTTCGCAAATCAAAAAGAATTGAAAAGAAGTCATACGTTAGGCCGCCAAGTCAAATATGAGCGTGATCTGCTATTTCCATGCCTTTCCACATCAGTTTTAGCCAAAAACAATTTCCCTAAAAAAAATAAAACCTTGACAAGGAAGAAAATAGTTTGAAGCTGAAACCCTTTTGTACTAAAACCTAAAAAAAACGGTTCGTGATAAACACTTTATGGACTTGATCCCCGTATAAAATAAAACCTACGACCCGCAGTAATTTTTCTGAGGCAAAATAACACAGAATGGAAAGCCATCTATGTCAATAACTTTAGCTAACCCTTTTTCCAGAACTTCACGTCCCAGCTACTGGAAACCGCCTTCAAAACTTTGCACTTGACAATTTATAACATAACCAACAGATAGCTGGAAAATTCTTAGGAACAAAGAAAGTTTAACTTCAACCGTGAAAAATCACAAAAAAGCGTGAACAAGTTTGAATAATAAACGTGAACAACATGATTTTTTTAAAATGAAACTTTTTCCGAAAAATCATCAAGACCCGCTTCGTTCTTTTACACTTAACATCGCTTTTCTTTCAAAATTGAGATTCGCCTTTTTTCCCAGACCCTGCATTGTCACTCCTGAATTTGATCTTGATACACAATTACGGTCATTTGGCCTTTCATGGCGCTCAATTTTTATGCCAATTGCTCATTAAAAATCGTTTTTCCAAAAAAGAGTATGAAATCTGCACAAACTTATTCAGCTGAAGAAGATAACAGTCAATATGTGCTGTTCAAAATTAGCCAACATTAAGTTGGAAGAGTGTCAATGAATTCCAGGCAACTGAAAAAGAATGACTGATTACATCATGTTGAATCTGTCTCAAATTAAAAAAACTTTTTATCAACACATTTTTTCATAAAATTAGCCCATTGAAGGAAGCTGGATCGTAAGAAAACTGAAAGGTAATTATTTTTTCAATTTCCGCTGGGAAATCTCAAAATAAATATCTACTTTCGAACTTAATGTCACTCGCGTTTTTTCACACCATTTCGACTATCGTATTTGGAGGGCGTGAATGATTCTCATTTTAGCAAACGAATTTTAATTGATCTTAAGAATAAATCAAAATTCAAACCGCATGCATGATCGAACTGAAAGCCGCAAAACTTCAACGCAATTTTCATGTCGAGTTAATCATATCAAAAGATTGCCAATTTTGTTGCCGTTTAATTTGTTGAGATATTTCCCACGTAATTTGACTCATAACAGCTAAGCTGTATGTTTGCACAAAAACGATTTAAGCAATGACGCAAAATAAAAATATGAGTGTTTTGTTCTGTTTCAATAGCTTTAATTGCGGATTATTGTCAAAACTTTGCAATTAATTGACACAAAAATTATGGCTTAGATGATATTTGATGCTCAATTTGAATAAATTTGAGTCAGTTTCCCTTCGTATCTCAAAACTAGTTCAGTTTACCACTAGCACTTGCTGGTCCTAAACGTTAATCGATTTGAACATCTATTAATTAACTAGAAGTAAATATGAATAAATATTGCAAAACACCTTTACACTGTAGCAAATTGCGTGATAGCAAATTAAATTGCATGAAACTTGAACCATTACGTACCATTGAAACATATCGCTCTGGATAAATGGTTTAATATCTTAGTACCCACAATTTTCCATGAGAAAAACGTCCCAAAATACAACTTCAAACACATACCCAAAAGACAGTTGGAAAAAAGTCAATGAGAGCAAGTGAACAGAAAAATATATACCGACTTGTTTTTTCACTAAACTACAACTTTCGAAGAAAACCGTAGATTATCTTAAGCCCCCCTTGACTTTCTAGAACAATTTATTATCGACCCTTTTTTATAAATTTGAGAAACCTGCATCAATAGTTAATTTTCGCTGGAAAATCTGAAAAATAAATTCCAGATTCGAATTAAGAAGTCGACCACGTTTTTCGTGATCTATACACTTTCGCTGCTCGATAGTGGACGTTGCCTTCATTTTAACAAAGGAATGGTAATAAACAGAAATTAAACAGCCGAAAACTATCAAGGTAAAAAAATTTAGTGGAACTTATTTCAGAACTTTCCTGTCAGCCATTGAAAACCTTATCAGCCACTATTCGACCTTATTGGATTATCCAGCTTCTGTATCCAGTCAAAAACAGTATAAAGATCCTTGCGTATCTAAGGCGTGCGCTCCCCCTCAAATTTAGTGTATACTGGCACCTTTCAAAAAACCTAGCGTTTGTTGATCAAAAAAGGATTGCGTAAAAAAGCACCAGAAGGCTGACTCTTTGGGTGGTCAGGGGTCGGAATCCCTGAAAGGGGTGTTGTACTTCTCTAAATCCGCTACTGGGCCGAGTTATAAGGTGTGACTGCAAATACTTTTAAATCGCCTCGTTATCGTAATTTTTTCACGTAAGTACAGATATTTCTGCCTGTTTTTGTTTGTGATGATCTATATTGTTGTGGCACATTTAGAGCTCACTCATTACGTGAGTTAATATTTCAAATATTTGGCACGAAACATGTGAGAGAAATGTTCTACTTTGTTAATCATTGGCAATGCTACTGTGGTTCCTTTCTACTGAGGTTAACTTGAAAAAACCTGTCATTCAGATACTTTTTTTACTAAGGTTAATAAGTTCGTCATTCATTCAAATGGTCAAAATAGTAATTTAAAAAAGTACAAAGTGAAAAGAGATAAAAACAGCATCTGAATAAAATTCTATCGAAAGAAACAAAACTTTAAATCCACATAAGCATAACCAAAGAAAATAAATCAAGCTTCGATGTTCTATCAAAACATCAAGCTTCGATGTTCTATCAATGTTCTAAATTAATCAAGCCTATCGCCCTCTCTTTTCCAAGAACTCTTTCATTTTTTAAAATGAAGTTAGTTAATCTCAATCATTCCCACCTCCTCCCACCAGTGTAATCTACAAAATATATGAAACCAATCTTCCGCCTTGCTATCTTTTGGAATTTAACATCTTCGTATCTTTTACTTATTCTGGATAGAAATGATCGCAAAACAGAAAACATTAAACTTAGTCAAACAAGGACATCAGAATTAACCTAGCTTAACGGTGTTTTAAAAACTAGCAGCGCGGTAAAATCTTCAAACCTGAGTGCTTTTTTTGCAAACAATATTTCTTTCAAAACTGGATTCATCAAACTTCAAGGTAATTTTTTTACAAGTCCTGGTTGATCTCCTATAAAAAATCAGCAATGTACGTTGATAAAAGTAGCTACCAACATCTTTGCTAAAGCGAGTTTTTGGTTCTGACGTCGATAAATTTAGCCTTAAGTTAGCGATGAACTATCGCTAGAACAGACAAAAATTTTAATGCAAAAATAATGCATACTAGCATTAACGATTTATAATCACCTATTTTTGAGTATTCTGAGTATGTTAAAAATGCCGCTACTGAACCCTGGTCAGATTTAGGAAAAGAAATGTTCTGAAAATTTGCAAAAGAAGCAGCACATGAAGTTATTATCTTGGCTTAGATCAAATCTCTCGGTTCAAATCATGTAACACTAAAATCTAAATGAAACGCTTAGCTTGAAATCGTTTCGTCCAGAATAGGCAAAACTTAGTGACCAGAAAACAGAAAAACCGTTGTGACAGAAGAGGTGGTTCTCCGGGAGAACTAGGATTCCAGAATTGGTAGAGAGTAGTTAATTTTCGATAGAAATTAGTTAGTGATGTTCGGCTTGTTAGAGAGCACGACTAGAGATTGTACTCAAGAAAAAAGTTAGGGTCACAAATCGCAGCTCGCTTAGCTTGATTAATATATATTACCAGGGGCGGATTTAGGGGACCCAAAGGATCCCCCTTTGATACTTTTTAAGAAATCCATTTTTGGCCGACCGACCCTAAATTTTTTCTATATACTAATTTAGAGGGGGGAACGCGCGCCGAAAAAAAAAACGCGACAAAATTTTCCAAAAAGTGCCTAAAAACGCCTTTTTTGGATTTTTTTTTCAAAAATTTGCCTGCGGCGTAGAAAATTTTGCCATAACAGGGACTAAACCGTGCTTAGAGAGAGCTCGAAAAATCAATTCGGTCGACCTAAAAAAAAGGTCGACAAAATTTTCGACATTTTTTTGAAAATCCGCAAACCCCCCCCCCCCCCGAGAACATCCTAGATCCGCCCCTGTACATTACCTCAGAGATGAGCTGGAGATTCTTTTTTATATCGTTATGATTCAACTCAAATTCTTCGGTCTAAATTCTTGAAATTTCCGCAGTTATTACACGGTATCAAAAAGATAGTATCGATCTGTGGCGAACTAGAGCGAGTTGAGATACGTCGCCAAGTAGGGAAATCAACTAATTCTACAATTTCGCCTTTCTATCCATTCTTAGCTAGCTTTGGTGATCAATAGTGATCGTTAAAATTAATTTTCTCCTAATTTATTTACAAAAAGTTGCGAATTCGGAGGGGTTTCATAACTTTATAAGATTTCAGAGGTTTCATAAGATAGAATAACTTTCTGTGGTCTTAGAACAATAACTGCGGGCGAATGATTAGCTTTGACCGGCTGTTAGTTTACAATCTGATTGAAAAACTAAAAACATGACTGATAGTTGGGATGGAACAACTAATGAGAGTCCTGGTCCATGTGAAAAAAGTTTTGCGGAAGAGGGCGTAGCTCATATACAGCTTTCTCCAAAATTAAAATTAATTTTAGGTCCCTTTTACACAAATTTCTGTACTTGGAAAATTTTAGCTGTTAACGATCTATACTTCTGAGTATTTCGGGGATTTTTCGGCGTAATGCGTGATATAATGTTTTGCCGTGTTGAAACATAAAACTTCAATTTGAATGTTTTTTTTTTATATTTGTGAAAATTATTATTTTAAATCAAAATACCAGTATGGGAGCTGCAAGTGGAAAAGAGCCAATCAATTTAATGCAAAAAATAGCATCTAACTGATTTTACAATCCATAGGAGGGGAATCTTGCCCCTTTTTGGCAGAATTTGTTGCTTCTAAGAACATGACTGTTGATCTGATCAGGTAAGTCAATGTTCCATATCGTCCGCTGGGAGCCGAATCATAGAAGAAGTTAGAAATATCTCTTGTACCCTTTAATAACGTCTCGCGTGACATATTAGGGTACCTTTCGCCCATTTCGGCAATGAAAAGATGATTTGCATGTTTGCAGAGGTTCTCCAATTTAATAACAGGGTACACTCTGTCTTTGTAGTGCTTCTCCACCAACTTTGCCAAAACCATCATTGACTCGATCAGAATCTGTCTGTACTCTGGCTCCGATATCCGACTGAAGATTTCCTCGATCTTCAAGTCGAACTTCATTTCGTCCTGTGTCATTTCTTTAGTCCTAGAGAATACATCAAAGCTTAATTAGTCAAATACATCAAAGCTTAATTAAAATTAAGGGGACACCCGGGTTCCAACCGAGGACCTCTCGATCTGCAGTCGAATGCTCTACCACTGAGCTATATCCCCATAGCTTTTCCTTGCTCAACAACTCTAAGTGCAAAAAAAACTGGACGAATGATTTGGACTATCTAACATCAGATGCAAACTTCAGTTTTACCATTTCCAATATCTTACAAGTCACTTCCTTTTTCCCTATTTTTGTGAACCAACAGCCATTTCACAAAAGCATTTCACAACTAAAATGACTCATAAAAATGCTGCAACGATACTAGGATGCATTCACTAAAAAATTGCTGAAATCTATCCATTCATCTTAGATCAATTTTAACATTTTCATCATTAACAAGAAGAGGTGTCTAAATGAAGAAAACATAATGATGGTGATGATGATCATCTTCACTAGAGAAATTTGAAATTTTTGTCAATTCTTGTCAGCTAAACTTACATCGAGCAAGAAACTAACCAAATAGAGTAGAGCATTCTGTCTTCAACGCAAATTCCATCGTGACACTTGGCTAGGAGCTTCCACACTCCCTGGTAGAACCCTGGGGGAGTCCTGGTGAGGGATCCATCTATCCTTCGTCTGCGGAGCCAGGTTCCCCTGGAGTAACTGGGCACATCATCGTACCTCCAGTCCTCGAAGAAGTCCTCGTCTTCTTCTATGTCATGCATTGAGGTCTTCAATTGACTGATGTCTTTCTTGCTGTACTTGACAAGCGATAAGTCTGACTGACCCTCGCCGACCTAGAATATTAACAACCTTTTTTTGAAGTGTTTTTAAATCCCACTTTCAGGGAAAATTCTACTGTCAGATTAATAAGCTCGAGGACAGAATCTTAAGTTATAAAACAAGATCCGTTACAAGATAAGCTCAAGCTGGCCTATTTTGAGCAAAAGCGTCACTGCACTGTAGGGCTGGGGAGACCAGGGGGTCGTTGTGGCAAGGGGTATTTAAACCGCAAACAAGCAAAGCGACACACAGCTCCAAAATTGCACACCATCGTCAAAATCCTTGGACTCATTCGGGTAAGGAGCTTACCAGCTAATCGACAACCATACCATATGCGTATATAAAACGCTATATGAAATCGTTCTTTTGCAAGGATGAGGCCGCAAAATTAGAGCACATCTATTGATAAATGAATGATTCGAAGTGGAAACGATTAAAATGAAAGAAATATATAGTCTTAGGATGAACAATCAACACTCGAACGGCATAACATTTATAAGATGATCAGCTATATCAATATCCAAGGAAAATGCCATATGAACCTCATAATATCACTCATGCAAACCCATTACATGCAAATCTCACCAAGTGTGTGAACTCTACTCCGTCATAAGATGAGCTGCTGCTTTTCTATGAACAAAACTTATTTCAAAAAAGAGGAAAAAAGAACGATTGCAACTTTGACACCACAAACGACAAACCGTGTTCAGTCAATATGGAAAAAAAATAACTCACGCTAATATTTTTCAATGAAGAATTACAAATCAAGCGACAAATCAAAATAACTGTAATATTTAAGAAATAAACGAGCTGTTCCGAGTGTTTTTTTGCTTGATCAGGTATCACAAAGATTTCAAAAATATATGAAATCTGAAACAAGTTTTCGTATTTTTGAAGACATCGTTTATTTGATAAGAGCGAGCTAATCGACTGGAATAGCTGTCCATTCACTACAACAATGATCTTAAATTACTGCTGTTTTTTTTTACCTTTCGACTAGTGAAAGAGAGAATGATCTCGCGTCCTGCGAACAGCTGACAGACAAGTTCGTACACACAGTAGGGCTCCAGTTTGAGAAGGTACTCCATGCCATTGTCCACACTGATATTCAACGACCTCGCAATCTCCATCGCCAACACCTGATAAATTAAACACGATGAAAATCATCGAAACCAGTCAATTCACAAGCGGCCACATATTTAAGAAGGATAGCCGATTGCATTGCAGCACAGAATGTTCCAACCACAACACATAAAAAGAAAAACGTTTTTTCTTTTTCTTTTTTTTTCTTCTAACTCGTGTCGTTTTTAGTGCCTGGTGCAGATAGAGAACAAAACAAACGCGTAGACAGTTAGCGAATAAAGCATAAACTGCAACATTTGTCTTCAAAACTATTTTCATATAACGAATGTTTTTCGATCGCTTTACGCACTGGAAGGGCTTTAATTTGACATATCACTCCACCATTCCAATTATTATTTGTGGCAGCTGATTTTGCAAGGAAAACAAAAACACAACAGAATACAAACATTTCTTTACCGCTGAGCGTTATTACAGAAAACAAATATGGAGCAAAGACTATTTTAACTTAACCGGAAAATGAAGCAGTTTCTACCTGAATGATTAATCCGATTCTAATTCGCATCATTCCAGTGAACAATTCCACTTGAGTTGCCATAATCAGAGCAGTGAACTTAATTATTTCCTGGGTCAAAGCTGCCATGGGAGTGCTGTAGCCACAGGATTGCTCCAAAATATCATTAAATGTATCCAGAGTCACTGGACTAAAGATAGTGTGCTCCCTGGGTTCCGGTGGCATTCCGACGCTCAGTGCCTTTCTTCGGATCAAAATCTGGCATATAGAAGAAGTAACATTATCCATGTTTCTCTGCAGCATACTTGCACTATATCGAAGAATACTCCATGCCGAAACTTCCGAGCTTCTACGATACAACTCCTTCAGGAGATTTTTTACCGAAGGGCATGACTCTCCAACTCTGATTTCATAATCCAGTCCAAACTTGTTGTGCATGAATACAAGCACGTCTAGTTGAGTATTGAGCGAGTTTGAAGAGTGGAGCAATTTGATCAGATCTGAATCACTAGCCGAGTCGATATCAGACAGTTTTAGACTACTCGCTTCTTCACTTAGTAGAGACTCATTCGAGCTGACAGTCAAAAACGAAGTCTGAGTCGACACTTTAGGTACACGATTGGACTCTTCGACAATATCAATCGGCGGACTCAGTAATATGTCTTTCGATGTCATAATCGTTCTGAACACAGACATTCTCTTTGCCATTCGCGGCATTTCTCCCCAGGATCCCGTTTTAAGCAATAAGGGAACGTCCATCATGTCATGAGTTACCATAGGTTGACTATCAAGAGGATTTTTCCGCTCCTCGTCAATGATTCGTTCCAAGAAGCCTAACCGCCGGATACTCGACGTGGCATAGAACTCTGTGACGCTTCCGAAATTGACTCGAAGACCGTCAAGAAGTCCAGTTCGTAACTTCAGCAGGGTTTCTAGGTAGAGTTGAGATAACTTTCCAGTCAGTGGGTCTAAGAACTCTTTGGTGATAAGCAAAACTACAATTGGCCTACCGAGTCCCCGCCAATTTAGTTTGAAATACTGGACCATCAATCCCAACTGTTTCAAAATTAGCTGATGATCCAAGGCCAAGTAAAACTTTTGCTTATTGAGGAAATAAGGTACAAATGCAAGCAAGGTGTCTTTTACGACGTAAAATCTACTGGTAGCCTCGGGTCCTATAATATCGTGGGCGAACCGTCCAGTTAAGCCCATTTTTGGACTTTCGCCCAGTCTGGTCAATAGACTACCGAACACGTGCGCGTGAAACAGACGAAGTTTCATATCGGACTCAGCTAACTCTTCTGCAGTTTCCACTACGATATTTTCTTCTTCAAGAGCTAATTTTACGTCAAAATTTTCAGCAACTGGGGCAATCTGAACAATCACATCTAGACGCTCCTGGTTTGACAGACGTCTATTTAGAGGGTCTAATTCTCCTGGCGACAACAACCCGTCGCAAATCAACGATGTCAAAATCCAAATACTGTGACCCCAAAAATGGGGAATCTTCCCGGCTGGAAGTCGTTCTTGCGTCCGTGGCTGTTTTCTTTCCTCTTCGATGTTGTTAAATGGTACATAATAGAGCTCAGGTAAAACGTGAAAACCAAGTTCCGGACATGGCACCATAAGAGTGTCTAATTTCTTTCGATACTTGTCGACAAGATCTTTATCTTCTCTGTACAATGCATCCAGAAGAAGGAAGCATAAACCCAGTGGCCATTCGCACTCCACGTTTTCGAAAGTAATCAGCTCGTAGCTTTCGTAATACAGTCGGTTCGGATCCTCAGTAGCCGCTTTGAAACCGTCTCTAAGGAACCTTTTACATCCATAATTTCCTTCCAACTTCTCGACAATCAAACTTCGCACCTGGTCTCTCACTTTTACATCGTCAACAGCAAACGCAGGATAGGTAATGAGAGGCAGAAGCGCCAAATCGCACTCTTTAGAATTTGATTCTCTGGGTAAAAGTGAAGTAAGGGTGATGTTACATTGGGTGATTTCATCCGGCATGCAAGTTATCGTAGACTGGGACGATCCTCTGGCTCCAAACAGATCCACATCGTGGATTGCTTCCAGTGCGGCTTTTGCCATTCCGACTGAGCTAGCATTCAATTCCACTTGACCTCTATTTGTTTTGTCTCCTCGCTCCCAGATACCAAAATCGGGTGTTTTGTATGCATTCTCGAGGTAGAACACCAAGTTCTGTATGAAGGCTACCTATTTTAAAAGAATCAATTTGCATACTCGTACAATCAACTTCTATTTTGTAAAAACCTTGAAAGATCGATAACTTGACTTTTAAGGTTGTGTTAGAACATTTGAAGCTTAGAAATGTTGATCTTTTCCAAACGAGGTTGCTTTTTTAACACAGAAGCGAGGCTGCACTTCCCAGAAACAAGCGACAAAAGGGCAAATAGTAGCTCTAAAAGGGTCAAAAAATGACAAAAAGGAATAAAAAGATAAAACCAATAAAAACACTGCAATGAACCAGAATCGAAACCAAGATCTGGAGATTAAAGTCAAACGTCTAAGCATCTGCGCCAGAGGCTCTCAACAATAGTTAAATACTAGGAGCCCAAATAAAGCTGGAGGTACCTGCTAGATAGTATATTTTTACACAGACGCAAAGTTGCACTTCGCATACACAAGCAAAAATATGACCGATAAAGCTGCTGGGATAACAATGAGTAAAACTTTGAGTCTACAAAATTTCTTGAGTGACGCACGCCAATTATGACGCATTGGCAGGACCAGACAATTTGAAAAAAAAAATAAATTTACCAACTAACATGCCTCAATTTATATAGCAGGCTATGGAGCAGTAATAACATGAAAAAATTACATGTAACAAAAAGATTGAAGTTTTTTTTTAATTTGAATTTTTTTGCAAAAATCATCCTCCCACACGCCATATTAAGTACAAAGTGATAAATTTCGCTCCTGTTAACAAACCAATTATGGCAAATAAGCTTCCTTCAACCAATTGGGTACGATTTCTATGACGGATTAAATCTCCGCTTACGCGTTAATAGCGCGAAATATATCGTTACTTGTCCCAAATTGGCCAAAATTTCAATTTGTAAACTCTCATAACTTTACGGAAAATGATCACAGGTAAAACACCTTCCCAAATTTAAGCTCAGGACAATTATACTTTTTGATACAAAAAAAAATCCCGTCAAAAATGGCTACTTAAAACATCGAAATTTGTCTGAAGAAAAAAAAACACCCCGAGCACAAATATTCCGTAACCACTCCCTGTTTTCCGACTAAACCTTTTATCTCAGATTTGGCAGGATAGCTTTAGAGAGAAGTTCAAAAAGAGCAAAATTTCCAGAAAGGCATATTTATAAGGCTATAACTTTTTACATCCAAAACATCAGAAGCTGTTTTCTACCAAAATTGGGGTGTTTCAACTTATGCCGGAGAGATTCCAGAACACGCTTTTTAAATTGAACTCTTGCTCTCAGATTTGTCGTAGTGGTTTTCGAGAAAACGAATATAATCCAAAGAAATGGGTTGAAAATCTCCCACTGAAGCTTTCGTAGAAGGTCTGGCGAAGTAAAGATAGCAACTAACAGTTGGAAAAGAGTAATGAACGCAAGGAAACTGAAAAAAATGACTTGTTTTTTTCAAAAGCCTTCAACTTTTGAATTTCGAAGAAAAAACTAGATGGCCTTAAAGCTCTCTAAAATTGTAGATCAATTTATGATGGACACTTTTTACTAAAATTAAACCAATTTGAGGAAACTGGATCAATACGTATAACTTTTATTTCCCTTGGAACATGGTATTTAATTTCCATTTTCGAAATCAGAAGTCGATCACGTTTTTCGTGACGAGCTATAAGACAATAGCTATCAGACAATTGGAAAAGAGTATAAATACAAGTAAACAAAAAAAACGGACATATTTTCGAACAAATTTCAACTTTCGAGTTTCTAAGTAGAAAATATATAGCCTCAACACACTTTGAATTTCAAGACGAATTATTATTAACACTTTTTTCATAAATTTAACTCACTTTGAAAAAACTGGATTTATAAAATAAAATTATATTCCGCTGGAGAACCTGAAATATAAATTCACCTTCCGAAACTAGAAGTTGATCACGTTTTTCGTGACCTTTACACTTTCGTAATAGCAGAGTGAAATTTACTCATTTTTAACAGATGAATTTACATTGAATTCAAAAAGTGCACATATACATAAGGGCATTCATAAATGCGTTAATAAGTATAAATGCATATCTGTACTGATTAGAATTTTAAGACTTTTTCCTTAAAAAACTCACCAAGACCTATATAAGAATCTTATCTAAGTTTATCGACTCTCAAAAGTTCCGACTGCACTTCAGGATAGTTTTGGTGGATTTTCAGAAAAAAAAACAGGAAAATAAACTGAAAGTCTGACATGTTGTTTTCATTATATTGACTAATCTTCCCACTCACGCAATGTTTTTCTTCTTAAAACTCTTTGAAAATCAAAAATAATTTAGGATTAGCACTTTTTTGATAATGCTAACCCAGTTTGAGAATAGAAGATCATTGGGTAAATTTTTTATTCCGCCGGAAAATCTGATAATTAAATTCCATGTTCAAAATTAGAAGTCAATCACGTTTTTGGTGATTTTTACAAAGGAAATGTACTGAACTTCAAAAAAAATCAAAAGTCAAACCGCAAAAAAGTAAATTTGAGCCTGAACAAATTTTAAGACTTTCCTGAAAAAAAAAACAATAAGAAATCATCGCGACTTTTATAAGAATCTGAACTGCGTTCATCAAATAAGAAAAACTGGAAGCATGTTCTCGGATTTGAACGCTTGATCCTTCGCGACATAGCCCCACTCCTTACCACCACACTACTGGGCCCAAACTTTCATGAAAATTACCTACATTAATAAAGCAAGCTATCAAATGATTCAAGTGATTCTGTTAAACTAGTTGTAACAAGAAAAAAGCCTAAACTCCAATTTGATAACGCTTGATTATCGCAAGCGTAATATTAGAATGCTTGCTTATTGCAAGCGTAAAAACCTTTTAGCTGGTAAATATACAAATTGCAGGAACAAATAACAAATGATTTTCCTTTTATCAATAACTTCTTCAATAAAAAATGAGCAGGCTTAAGAAAAAATGCAATCAAAAATTTAGCAGACGCACAAAAGAACAATTATAAAAGTTTTTCAAAAAAAAAATATCAACTACAAGTACGAGGACTGCAATATCAAGAGAACCTATTATACCAACCAGTACTTTGGTTTGGGTTACAGAACTCGAGCAAATCAAAACGTTTATGTACAGTGCATGTCCTGTAGACAAGCAAGTATTCAATGAGTCTTTTAAACAAGGTCCTTATCTGAAAAATCTGTTCCGATTTGATAATACTTGCTAACAACAATCGTAAAAACTCTCCGACCAATTCAAAAACTTTATTACAAAATGATCTGGGTAGTTCTTTTACTAATTACCTCATCATGGTTCTGGACTATCACCAGTCCGGAAACTGTCATCTGAGCCAAAAGAAGGACATAAATGGCCACTGCGTCCATCTGCAGATGACCCCACTCGTAGTCCCCACACGCTGCACCCAAAGTGGCTGCATCGAACTTCGCGTGGATGCAGTCGTACTTGTGCTGGCTCCTGAAGCACAAAACATTCTCAAAGAAGCACAGATGCAAATATCAGAACAAATAAACAGAGGAAGTAGATAAAAAAAAACACAGCCGGTTGCTGTGAAGTAGCAAAGGAAGTTCCGACTACATTTATTCAAATTCCTTTTTCCAAATTGCGTCATTTTGCTCGTGGTGTGATGAGACTCAGAAGTCTATTTTTCTATATTTTGGCTATTTTTCTAGGCTGAGTAATGTTGCCTCACCTTCGAGCCACGCACACGTTTCAAGGTGCGCCTCGAACATCACACCTTTCGATTGAGAGGCGGAGACATATCAATTTCACCACCGCCCTATGATTATTTGTGGTAGCTGATTTTGCTTGGAAAACAAAAATAAAACGAAAAATATCCGAAGACAACTTTTCTACCCATCTTCAATTTTTGGAACAAAAACAGATGAAAAAATGAAATTTTAGACTTTAGGAATTTGAAAAACAAATTGTTTGTAAGTAAAACATGGAATTCGAAAAGAAGCAAACGCATGATAAGCAAGGAGAAGATTTTTTAGATTACCTAAAGTTTTTCCAAATTTGAATTTGAACTATCAAATCTATCTAGAAATGGAAAAATTTTTAAAACTATCTGGACTTTTTAGTAATTTAAGTCCACAAAAATTGTTTTCCATAAAACAATACTTAATGCTTTAAATGGCAAAATTTTCAAAATATTATTTAAACTTTTGTTCTGACCATTGAAAATGGGGAGGAATTTTGTACTCGGGTGTGCTTTAGATTTTTTCTTTTCTTTTCCAACCAATATCAGACGCCACAATACATAATCGGAACGGTTTGCATCGGGCGTCGTGATTCAAAGAATATATATAAATTTCAAAAAGTTGACCAATTTTGAGATTGACAGGTGTACAAATTTTGAACTTTAGTTCGATTTCGAGCGAGTAAAGCGATCGAGTAATGTTCGTTATATGAAAATTCAATTTTTTAAATGGGCTAGGAAAACTTCCTTGCCAACGAAGGTTCTCTTAAAAATTTATCTGCAAAAAAATGCAACTGTTTTTTATGCTTTCTTATTTATTTTTTGAAGACAAAGGCTGTCAATTATGCCTGGTTCACTAACTTTCTACTCGTTTGTAAAGTTCTCAAATAACACCACGACTAAAAACGACTCGAATTTGAAGAGAAAAAAAAATTTTGTAGTTTATTTTTAATAAGTGGTCGGAATATTCTGTGCTACTTGCACAGCAACCGGCTATCCTTGTTCTATTTTGGCATTGGACTACAAAATTTGATAATTGCAATCGAAGATCATTAGGCCAAATGCTGTTTGGTTCAAAACTCGCAGTTTGGAGCGAGTTTGAAAATAATAGTTAGCAACTCAACATCAAAAATTATTCATTATTAGCAACTCAACATCACCTAATAAATTTATTTGACAAGCAAGGCAGTGATTTCAACCAGACCTTGTATCGACAGCAAACTAAATAAAACTTAACAAGGTTACTCGAATTGGTTATGGTGTTACTTACTTTTTGAAGGTCTCTATTTTGTCGGACTGCATCATCATGCACATCATGAGTCCCCTCATCAGTTTCACCACACTCCTCTCTAACTGGCTACAACAGTAAACAAATAGACATTATGCCATTTCAAACACAGACCAAACCCAGGCGAGTTTACACTAAAACACGTTAATGAAAAAACAAGCTCACATTGAATTTTAATTACAACTATAGTTTCTATCTGTTTAACTAGAGCCATCATCGTAAGGGTCTTGGGTCTTGGTCCAAGGCTACAAAATTTTGTTAAATAAAAACTTATTGTTGATGTATTGAATGACGCGAGCTAAATTATGTATCTCGACAAACTTTGCTCTTGACAACCTCTGAGATAGCTACACACATTATTACTTGTGATGTATAATTATACTATTTTTTCATGAATTAATAAAAACACACGATTCCAAATGATTGAAAAGAGAGAAAGACATGATTCACCAAACAGAATAGAATACGACCAGGCTGTTTGTATCAAATCAGACGCACTGTTCCTACCGCTTATGTGAGCTTTCAGAAGAAAAAAAAACAACATTAACTTACTTGACTCGGGCTTCGCTGTCTCTATCTGTCGTACACTTCCTGTAGGCCAAACTCAGTCCCCAAGTGGACAGACAGCAGTAGACGTTGTCTCGCATCCAGGCATGGTGATAATACTGTGCCTTCGGGTCCCTATTCGACAACAGTCCCGTTAAAGGGTGCTGCAACTCGTCCAGAATTATGGTCAGCTGGTGGTAGTACACGTCTAGCATCGCTCCTGAATTACTTCTGCTCCTCATCTTGGCAAGGTTTTCAAATTGCTCCTCTAATTCTATTGGTTGAAATAATATTTACTTATTTGAAAGTAAGATACGGTTTTGATGTGGCGTGGGGTAATTTGGGACTCTTTTGATGGTTATATGGCGGAGATTGTTGTAAGATTGTTAAGATTAACACACAGTCAGAATAGATTAGGCTCAATCAATTTGGTACCATGTTTAACATAGCCGCGAGGACTCATTGAGTGACTATTTTTCGCATATTAGTCAAGTGGACCATTTTAACCAAGTCGTTATTTGGCTTTGCTAATCACGTGTAATATACTGCCGATCTATAACGAAGCAGTTGGAGAAATCATATATGAGTTCATGAATGCTGGAATAGGAAGCTTCCTATTTCAATGTACCGGGAATTTTTCTGCTAAGAGCTTGAATTTGACCAAAAAACTGGTCATCATAGTAATCTGAAAAAAAAAGATACAAAATCAATCATAATTTAATAGAAATACTCCTCAGAAGGGTCTCCGGTTTGATTTAATTTTCAATGCTTGATTTCAGTCTAAAACTATTCAGAAACAATTACAACAAAAACAAATTCGACTCTGGAACCAATAAAATTGATTTGGAATCAAGCGGTCACGTATATATAATTACATACATGAGATCAGTTTTATATATGTATTAAAGTGATCTCATATTACATTTCGTCACAAGAAACGCTCAAAACACGGTGGTTTTGGAATTTAAATTTTGTAGCAAGTCTAGTTATTTAGTAGTATAATACAAAACAGATTCTTGCACACACATTAAACTGATTAGTCCATGGCTCCTCAAAAGGTCGCCTTTCAATTCAATAATCCTCGGTTAAGTCTCAATTTGGACGTCTGGTCATGTCTGGTCTAAAACTGTTTCCAGGTTCCATTATCTTCGCTGAATTTCCTACCGTAAAAAGGGATATTTTCTTGGATCATTTTGATGTCGCACATCCAGACGAAGGCCACAGATGCAACACCTCCCCAGACTAGTCCCCTTTTAGACCAGACTTGAATCATTCGTCGGGATTTTCCCATTGGTATGAGTGAATTCAACATTTTTCGATCTAAAAGGATCTCAAACTTTGGGTTTCAAATTATTTAACAATCATAAAAGCAAAAAAATCATCTCAGAACTAACTTCTTAGTACGATGAATGGAAAATAAAGCACACTTCTTAACGGGGATCATCTAATCGGTCAATGTCATATTTTTGAAATATGCATCATGGCATCAAAGTTGCTCCTGCAAAGTTTTTATTTTGTATATTTGCCAACGTTTCATCAGTTTTTGAGAAATCAAATGGACGAGTCAAACATCAAGGAAATCATTTTTCGCTAATCAATTTAATAAATTCTTTGAGTGGTCTTTCTGTTTTGCGCGTTATCTCAACAATAGAATCAGAATCAGAACTGTCTTCAATTGAGCTATTTTTCTGACCATTTTTCGTTTCACTGCTTCCGTGATCAACTGGTCTAGATTTGATCACACCTCCCATTGCTATTTCTCTGTCTTCCTCTGACATTGGGTTGAACTTGACCGCACTATTCACTTTCGGTTGGTCTTTAAACCCTCCAAGGTTAACGTCTAATTTCGAATAAGTCTGCAGTGATTCATTTTTCTTCTTGACTTGTCTCGATTTAATAAAAGCCCATCCAGTATACCCTGCGAAAGCCACAATTGAAACAGGAAATAGCCAGGATGAATGATTTTCTACAGTAGTTACAACATAGCAACGGGCCACAAATAGTCTGTGGCGGACATCTCTTATCACGTTCTGCATTTCATCAAAACAAAGATTCTGAAATTATAATGAAAAACGTGCTAACACCAAATGTAGCTTTTAAAGCGCTCGGCTACTACACATACAGTCACAAAATTAAGTTTGGTTTTTTAACAAGCCTATCTTCTTCAAAACTTCAAACCTACACAATTTTTAACGTAATCAGAAAATACAAAAACTAGAAATTCTCTTGCAGTTTTTTCCAGAAAGTGCCTGAAAAAAGTTAATTGTTTCTGAAAAGCAAACGAAAAACCTAACAACAAGGATAGCTGGTTGTTGTGCACGTAGCACAGAATGTTCCGACCACATTCCCATATTTTTTCAAACTATGTGCGTCGTGTGATGACAGAACTACGCCAACGCGTAAAAATTTAGGTAGTTAGGCATAAACGATTACAATTCTCTTCACAAAATATTTAAAAAAACAGTTGAAAAAAAATCTTAAAACAATTTTCAATGTTTTGCCCTACAAGATTTTTTAAAGTATTTTTGAAAGTTTTTACTTTCCAGATATGCATAAAAAATTTTCCAGAAGAATGTTTTTCAAGGATTGAGCTTCAAAAGATTGTTTTCCTTTAAGTAATACCAAGATTTTTAGCATAAATTACTAATTTTCTTATAGAACGAACTTAACTCAATCACTTTACTGGCTCAAAATTTGACTGAAGCTCAAAAATTTTATGCCAGTTTTTCTCGACACTTTAATATGATATATCACTCGACCCATTCCGATGATTATTTGTTATACCTGATTTTGGAAAAAAATGAACAGGACATCCAAAATCAACGCACACTAGGCCATTGTTGAAAAAAATTGAGCGCAAGTATATCAATATTTTCCAAAAGAAATCTCTAAGCCAAAAAAAAGATTCAACAATTTCCAACTCAATTATTATAATTACAACTGTCTGAAATATTGATTGAAAAATTATTCGGCTTATGAAGAAATAACGCATCTAGCAAACATATGATATCGGAGCCAAAAAACAATTTCAAGCAGGAAATTTCTAAACATGATCCAGGATCTCGAACTATGTCATCTATGCGCTGAAAAGTACTACAAAAATGCAGTTTTGTCGACAGAAGCAAAGCTGCGCTTCGCAAACACAAGGAAGAGAACGACAAAAAACAGCTCTTAGAAAAGTAGAAATAAGCCTCGAACAATAAAAATTGTTGCTTACTGTTGGATTTGAGCCTGCAAAGTCGAGCTTTGGCATCTCACTTCCTTCCCTTTCAGCCACCAACTCTTCGCTAGCGAGAAACACTAGCCAGAAATGGACCAGATGCTATAAAAATTCCAATGCTTCCGCAGAATATGATTATAGCAAAAATGCCGTCAAACGAGCATTATTACACAATATTCACAAGCTCGCATGTGTAACTAAGCAATAACACAGAGGCAACGCTTCAGCTTCGCAAACACCGGCGAGAAAGCGGCAAAATTCATACACAAAAAAATCTGCATGTAATATTTTGCAATATAATAAGCGAAAGGCACCACTAGAACTAGAATGTATTAAACCAAATTGCGAATAAATTATGCATTTCAAAAATGTCGCGAAGTAAACCAAGATGGAAATTTTCTGAGAAGGATTTAAATTAATATACTGTTGTATGAATCAAATAGTTTTTCCTTTCTTTTGATGAATTAAAAATCATCAACCGTGTTAGCCTATTACCGATCAAAATCAAAGCACTTGGCAAAATATTGCTAATACAGCCACTCGATTGAAAATTGCCACCAGCAGTAGCACTTTTATTTCCGACTTAGGTTAGAAAAAATGCATCGTACTATCACACTACGCTCGTGCGAAAAAGTTTGAAATGCATACAAAACTCCGAAAAAAAATCAACTTAATTACCACGATCTCTGGGACTTAAGAAATGGCTTTCCAAATGCAAGAAGAAAACTGAACCTTCAAAAACACTCCTGCAGCGGTAACAAACTAACAAAAGTCAACGCAGACGATGCCCCAGAAAAGCATACAAGTAAAACAAAAACTGGTTTCGACCGGACTCGAAATCCAGAGCTTTGTCGTTTCAAGCATGGGTATTACCTCTACGCCAATTACGCTGAAAAATTGATTGAATTTGAACTTATTAGTGAGCGAGTTGAAGCACGAGCAAGACTTCATGGTCCACTTTTGTAAATTAGCACTTGGTTGCGGTACCCTTGCTTATTCAAATGGTAACTAGGAGTAATTCACGTTGTTAAACGCCAATTTGCTGTTTACTAATTCTAGAGTGGAATTGGCTTCCAGTTAAATTGAAATTGAAAAGACAGTCAAAGCCGTCAAAAAAAATTTGACATTGAACAACTTTTATAACCTTTTCTTTAACCACAACGTTCATTTAAACTTAAAATATTGGAAACTAATTGTGAAATTTTTCAAAAACATATATTTGAAAAATTTCCTGATATACCTGCGCAGAAAATACAACTGAATACAAAATTCCTCCCCACTACGTGGTCGGACTAAAATTAGAGATTTAAATTAGAGTTTTTGACACTCTAAAATTCAATTGCAAAACAGTTCAGCGTGTCATAAATGAATCGAGTTTACAAGCTCAAAAATTAAGTCTATAAATCATTTCTACTCTACAAATCAACTTAAATAGCTAACAAAACATAATTTTCTTTTGAACGAATTATCTATAAAATACCGAAACAAAATTATTGATCAGAATTGGTTTAAAAACTAATTACAAAATTATTCAGGGTTTATTTTGTGATCCGCATCTAATATATTATCCTCTCTAATTCTAAAATGATAGCAGAACTATCAAGCCCCGAGGTTTTATGGCAATTATTTTGACTTGTTTAGATGCTGTTCATTCAGCTTGCGCAGCTTCTCCTTGTCTATCATTAGAGCCGCTTGATCTTCATCTGTCAACATCTTGCTATTTCTGTACGCACCGAGGCGAAGCTTCTCTTGCATCCAACCTGAAACAGCAAAACAACATCCGTTTTGATTATAAAGCTAAATAATAGCAATCAGAATAGACTATATTTGCACGTCATTCCATTCGCACCCTAAAAGCGCTAAATAAAAAACAAACAAGTATACACAATGATCGAAGCAGCAGCCGCAACCATCAAAGCAAACATTTTTGAGAAAACCATTCAAGGAGCAAAAAAGCTTGGCAAAATTCAAGAAAACAAAAACGGATTATATAGATCAGAGACCCTTTTCTGTGGAAGCCTAAGTGGCAACTGAGAAAAATAAATGCTCTCACCAGAACAATACTCTGTCAAATAAATACAATTTCAAGCAAACTATTAATTTGAACCAAATTTGATTTATGTTCAAATTTTGCTTTTTACATGTCAGAATAAGAACCTATTACAGGTCGAACCTACGGTGCTTTAAACAGATTGTTAACGTCAAAAGTATTAAATAAAAAAATTGAATGCAACGATAAAAAAAAAGGAGGGTATTTTCTGTTCTATCCGCCTAAATGAATAAATTTGGCAATTCAAATTTCGAGTTGAAATTGAAAGCGCGAAAGCGAGTGAAACTAAATAGCACTCGCTTGCAATTAGCAGCTTTTGACATATACTTTTGTTTCCTAATCGAGCAGCTGCTAATTGCACTCGTGTGGTATTTAATTGTTTGTTTCACTCGCTTTTGCGCTTTCAATTTCAACTCGAAATTTGAATTGCCAAATTTCTTCAATTTTTGGGGGGGGGGGGGGTGGGGGGGAGGGGGGAGAGGGGGTAAGTATAACCGAAAAGACCCAAAAAGGATGGGGGCAGCCAACCGCTTTTTATGCTTACTATATTGACTACTTTTAAAAATGCAACTTCGAGGTTTCCAAAATTCTCATCACAAAACTGAAAAAAAAACTTTTTTTGTTCTGAACCACCTTGATTAAAATGAGCAATGTGCTAAACACGCTTAAGAAAAAAAAATTGACTGGAACGTTTTGAAATTTTTTTTCAAACATAAGAGTCGAAAAAAATGGAACAAGTCAAACATGATCAAGAAACTAGGTCTACCAAAAATTTATATTTTCGTGTATATTGACAAAAACTCCAATAAGATATTTTAATAATAAATTAGCAATGGACAAAGCACGCGGCGAGGAAACAAAGCCGGTAATCTTTGAGCAGGCACAAGTTTAGCCGAAAAATTAAGATTCATAATTAGTTCTTTAGGGTTTTAAGTCCCACATGAAACTACGATGAACAACACTAACACTTGCAACTACCATGAAAGTTGCCTATATCACAAGAAAAAGCATTTATGTGGGCAAATAGCCGACGACCTTTGAGCAGACACCAGTGGAACTGCAAGTCTATCCCTGAAACTAGAAGGAACAACGCTGGTACTTGCAACTGCAATGAAAGTTGCTTGCAGGACAGTAGAATCTGTGAGGTGGCAAAGCGCCGACAAAACTTCAGCAGACAAACGGAAGTTCGAAAAGTCAAGTTTTACCGAAAAAAAATCAATCGCATACATAGTGAAAGACACTCGACCCCAGACCTTAGAGAAGGAACATCGAAATGGGACAGAACATGAAAGAATTGAATAAAGAACAAACCTGAAGAAGAAGGAAGTAAATAAATAAGAGAAGAATGTTGTTTACGGGAAAAAGTCTAGATCCGATTATAAGACGCTTGCTCTCGCAAGTGAAACAAAGAAACATTCGGCAACCAAAACCCCAAAAATCAATAATTCTTTACAACAGTTCAATAGTTCTTTACAAAACTATATCTGAATAATCCCGATTAAAAACCAGCTGAATTGATAGCGAAACGAGACGATGCTCGGCTTCGTACATTTTTAACAAATTTTTCGAAGAATCTCGATTCCAACAATGCCTGTCATAGCGTTAAGGTGTAACTATCTAAAGAGAACCTTGGGCTTTTTCGTTGAAAACTTCAAGATTTATAGCTAATTTTGGGGAGATTAACAAGAAGATATCAGAAACAATACAACCAAAAGTTGCACACCAAAATTACACTGTCTAGTGTAATCAAAAGTGATTTAAGGCCACTGATTTCTGCATTGCTTTTCTTTATCTTTTTGATTGGGATGTTTCAGGCTGAAAGGTCTCATTAAGCACCTGGCTAACTTTCAATGACCGGGATTCCTATTTTCACAAAAAAGGGACATATGAGTGCTGAATGTAAAAAATTTTTAGCCCCCAAACATTACGACATAACAATAGCAACGAAAAATCTTTTTAACTTTCAGGCCAAGGTATCAATATAATCGTTATTTCGAGATTCAAACAATGGGGAAACTTGGAGGAACCACACCTAGCTTCAGTATTCCTTATTTTTTCGAAGGTCGGAACATAAAACAAAATCAGAAATTTATGTTTTACATACAGCTTTTAAAGGACTTATGACTGTAATATAATTTTCTTATAATTAAAAAATAGTGAAAAACGGTAACTGAGCTTACATATTCTTGTGGTTATGAAACCTGAAAGCTCATTATTGTTTACCTTTAGCTCGGGGTCCATTCATTTCTGGTTAATCTGGCCTCCAAACTTTATTGCTCAAATCCTTTCGGTTTTTGCGGTATGGCCTTTAGGACTTTTTCAATTTTGTTTTCTCGACCCTATCATTACGTCATTAAACCGATAAAAAAATAGGCCGAAATGATACGGGCCGAGAAAAAACAAAGGAAATACGAAATCAAGGTAAGTAAAAACACATTGTACAAGTAAACCAAACACGAGCAACATTAAAGAAAAATGTGCCCCGCAAAAAACGATTCCAAGATGTAACAACTAAGCCGACAACAGCTAAATAGACAAAAAATTCGCCGACAATTTGATTAAAAGCAGCAAATTTCCCGTTTGAAAGAAAAACAGGTTCAAGTCAGATCCGAAACCAGGAGCTTGGACGTCCCAGGCATATTTGTTACCTGCAGGCTCAGTAGGCCGGTAACGCATAGAAGTTTGAATTCATTATGAACCAAGATACAAGTGATTCGAGTGATCCTGTTAAACAAGTTGTTAACCCGAAAAAAAATCTATATTCCGGTTTGATACCACTTGCTGATCTCAACCGCAATGATTATTGTTGTATTTAATGTTCCGACCATTTGAAAAATGGGAGAAAATATGTATCCGGGTATTTTATTTTTTTTGTTTTCCACGCAGATACCACAAAAAATCATCGGAATGGGTTGAGTGATATATCACATGAAAGCATATTCAGTCGTGATTCGAACGACATAATGAAATTATCTCTGTGCCGAGAAAAACCGGTTGGAAAATTTTAATAATATTTTGCGCTAAGAAGGTGAGCGCGCAGGATTAAACTATAGTTTATTCATGCTTAATTTAAGCCGTGAGCTTTTAGATTTACTCAAGTAACACTAGCGCTATTGTGGGAATCAGCGCCCTTTTGGGAATTAGCGCTATAAGTTTTTAGCGAAAATTTGGGAATCAAAAACTTAAAAGTATTTTAAAAAAAGTGTTTTTAAATTTTTTTTACAATTTAGTTTTCGTTCTTCTTGTCCATTTCCTACAAAGACTGTTTTCCATATGACCTACTTTACAATGACTGTCGAGCATGCCTAAGTTCTATTTTTTTTCGTTGCGATGCTTTTACCACACCACGCAGAAAAAAGACTCTAATTTGACAAAACGTTTTTTTTATTTTTTGTTGAAGGCTATGGTGCTACTTGTTCTGTGCTACTCGTTAAACAGCTATCCTTGATATTATTATGATTTTTTTATTACTATGATTATTAACTACTATGATTCATATTGCGATGATGATTAGTAATGTTTGTCATCAAACTATTGTTTACTATTGTTTACACAGAGACGAAGTTGCGTTCGCAAACAAAAGTGAGGAACATGCAAAAATGAGCTCTAAACAGGCAAAACAAAGTGAAAAAAGGAAAAGTAAAAGATTAAAAATACACCTTGAGAAAAAATTTTGAATGTCAAATTCGAGACAAGGAGCATCACGTTTTCACATCTGCTCCACGACCGCTTGTAATTTTACTAATACTTACTGACTCCAATAAAGTTGCAAAACTCAAGGAAAAAAACTGGATGTACATCTAAAGCTGGATGTACCTCTTTTAATATTTTTATCATATATTGTACTGATACGGAAATGCGTAATTTTCATACCTAAAAAAACTGATTTTACGCATTACCCCAGTTAATTCTCTGCTTATTTGAAGGAGAAAACTATTACGCGCCCTTTCAATTGAATTCTTTATCTCAGATTTGGCTAGGTAGTTTTCGAAAAAAAAGAAGATTAAAAAAACTATAAAAAAATCAAAAATTTGACTTTTTCAAAATCCATTAAGTTTATCTTCTTAAATGTGGGAAAAGCCTCTTATGCAGAACTTCAACTTTTTTCAAATACAAACATAGCCAATCAAAGATTGTAAAAGAGTAATGAATGCAAGTTAACAAAAAAAATTACTGACTTAGTTGAAAAAATCTCAACTTTCGAATTTCAAAGAAAAAAATTGATGCCCTTTAAGCTCTTTGAATTTCTAGATCGATTTTATGATTGGCGCTTTTTTGCTCCAGTTCCACGTTCGTATTTGGAGAGTGCTATTTACGTCACTTTCATCAGATGAAAGTGCATATATTCCTAAGTGCATTCATAAATGCAATTTAGTAACTCGCAATTTGTAATCTTCTTTTGGATTTTGCTTCAGCAATTTTGCGATGGTCTTCGCAAAAATTTTTGTGACGAGTTTGCTTGACTGAAACCCCACAATTTTTCTAAAGAAAAGGTTTTTTTTTCTTGTCCTCCCATTTATCATGACTGATGTGAAAACTTGGTGCTCTTTGAAAATTGTCTGCTCACTGCAGTGGATCAGAAATTTTCCTCTTTTTTTTAAGAGTCGATGAAATAGTGAGGACTCCACTATCGATCAGCAAATGTGTAAAGGTCGCGAAAAACGTAATTGAATTCTAGTCTTTTTAATTTGAAAGCCATGGTATCAATATTATCAGGGTTGTATCACTAATACCATTAAAAACTGTTCTTTCGAGAGCCGAAAATTGCCTGTGAAAAACCACAGATAGCTTCTGTACTCCTTGCTTCTTCGAAAGTCAAAACAAAAAAATAAATACTAGTTTTCTGCTAGACAGCTTTTGAATGATCCAATAACTGTAACATGATGGTTTATTAACAAAAACCATGAAACAACAGATACTGAACATACATATTCTTGTAGTTATGAAACCTAAAAGCTGATAATCTACTATCTCTAACACACCCCGTGTTAGAGATAGTAGATTATGAGCTTTTAGGTTTCATAACTACAAGAATATGTATGTTCAGTATCTGTTCTTTCATGGTTTTTGTTAATAAACCATCATGTTACAGTCATTGGATCATTCAAAAGCTGTAAAGCAGAAAACTAGTATTCATTTTTTTTGTTTTGACTTTCGAAGAAGCAAGGAGTACAGAAGCTAGCTGTGGTTTTTCACAGGCAATTTTTGGCTCTCGAAAGAACAGTTTTGTTTCCCAAACTTATACGGTAGTTGAAACAAATTAATCCCACATGTACGAGGAGTTCAAATCAGACTGGCGGTCCGAAGTTACAAAAACTATCTTTACCTTTTACAATGGTCTTCGTCACTTCACGCCTCACATGGTTGAGCAGATCTCTCCAGGTCATAGTCATGTTATGTATCTCCACTCGAGGCAACACGATGTGCATGTTGTGAATGTCTTCTATGTTCTTTTTCTTGTCGCCTCTGTAAGTCACATAGATAGGTACCTCCCGGATGCGAATCACCACAAACAAACAATTCCTCGCCGCTCTTTCAAAAGCTAAATCTATTGACTCATGGCCTGCGTGACTGCTGTATAACTTCTCAAAGTCCCTGTCTTTCGCTTCTTTTTTAACCTAAAAAGACGTATCAAATGAGCTCCAAGTTGAGACTTTTTACAAATATGGCAACGAAATAAAACAGCACACAGAAACTTAAATTTTTAAACTTATTTCATTTTTGGTCGATCAGATCCCAATATTTGCTAACAGTTCATTTAGCGCCAGTATAATAAATAAGAGGGGAAAACTTTCTTGTCACTATCCTTTTTCATTAAAAGAACTAAAAAAGAGCCATTTCGGCATATTTTGTCAAAACTACTCTAGCCAGCAGACTACAGAAAACTTCAAGCACTAAAAATATTGCTGAAACAATCGACGTAAATTGAATCCATTTGGTTTGATTATTGAGAGAAGTTCAAATAAATATTTAACAATATCCATTTCATTTTCAAATGTTTTTGTACCTTCTTTTTCTTGTTCTTCGAAGCCAGTGCCGAACTCAACGAGTATGAACTGCTTCCCGACTTATGCAAGGTCAACTTGCTTCCTGCCTTGTCGTGTGGCAAAGCAGTCGTCAAGAGCCTCATCTGATGCAATTCTTCCTCCTCCTGTTTTCGCTTCGATTCCACCGGGAACAAAAACTGCTTCATAGTCTTCCAAAACGCTTCTGTCAAGTGAATATTTAATGTCGCAATTTTTATATCCAGTAGTTCGCGGATTTGGATTCCGCCGACAGCTGGCTTTTCTCTCATCTGGACAACTAGAATCATCCCTCTGTCATTGTCCGGGCTCAGCTCATCACCTTCGTTTTGAATAGAAGATTCGCTACTACTACTTGCCATATTTCTAGCATTCTTTTCATGAGTTTGTAAAATGTCCACAAAATGGTCGTTATTGATTAGATTTTTAACTTCGACATCTTCTAAAGCGACACGGTGATCCAGGCTGTCATCACTACTCGCAATTTTTGTATACTTGAAGTTTGTCAGGCAAACATCGGCGAAACCTATTTGACCATCAACTTCAGTTAAGCTCCACTTCGCTTTGGCGAATATGATTTCCTTTTTGTTCGCAGCAGCTGGTTTTTCATCATTTGATGGTAGTTGGATTTTACTCTTAAGCTGCAATTCTTTGTAACAGGTCAGCGCTAACTGTAATCTCTGAGCTGAAGCTTCTAATTCTTTTTTCTTAGATTCAACTGATTCTTCTTGAGCGAAAGCGTATTTTCTCCAATGAGTAATTTCTTCTTCGATTCTTTGTGAGCCTTCCGAGTCGATTTCCGAACCTAACTTTGAAGCTACTAAATTTTGAAGTGACTGCAATTTACCTTCGACCGCTGCTCTATCGCGTTTCAATGTTTTCAGAGCAAAATTCCCTTCTCTCAAATGTTTCTGAATATTTATAATTGCCAGCTTCAATTCGGCGAACTCTCTAACTTGCATTGAAAGTCTCAAAATTTTAAGATTTTCAATTGAAATCTTCTTCGATTTTTCTTGGTATAAAATTAAGTTATTCACTATGTCAAGCACTAAGCTGTACTGAAACGAGTTAGTGCTAATGCATAGATCATTATGATGAAGTCTGAATAACGAAACTGGCGCTTTTTTGGACACTTGTTGTTTTGAAGGCACATTGTATATAGGCATATTTTCGTTTTCTGAGAGTGAGTTAACAGTTACTAAAGAGACATTACAGCAACATCTGCTAATGATTCTCTGGAGCCGATAAGATCCACAAGATGACACAAGAGCACCTATTGCCTCTGTCAAGACTTCCTCTTGGAATGACTGTTCGTCCATTGATTTCGAAAGATTCTGCGACTCAATGTTCACAACAGTCAAAGGCAACCACGATACCGTTTCGTCGTTTTCTTCGCAAGCTACTAAGTCGTTATAACTCAATGTGGAAAAATACTGCATATCATTAAGAGAAACAATCAGCGAGTTCTTACTGTATAGTTTGTCTTCATACCAAATGGACTCGTGCTGATACCTGTCAATTTGGGCGTCGGAAGCTGTCACTATTACCAGACCTGGGGTGTCGAAACCGAGAAGCTTCAATTGCATGTCGGATATCGCTACTTTTAAGCTATGTTGATTGACATCTGACAGTGAAATCTTGTCATCCTCGTCATCTTCGGGTATATATTTCTCTTCATTAAACCCGAAGAACCGTTTGCTGTCAATATCTTTCACGAGGATCTCGTACAAAGGATCTGCGAACGGATTTTGCTGTTTACATGGCGTTGATGCGGTTATGGATGCTTCAGAATTATCAAGCTCTTCTGAACTGGTTCCTATTGAGGATATTTTGTGAATCGGATGCTGCAATACACTCTTCCGCCTGTCCCATTTGGATTTCGGGTCTTCGGTGTTTACAACTACAATTGGCTTCAAAGCATCTGATGACAAATTCTGCCTCAAACTTTTGTTGAAAGAGTACTGGTCGTAAAGTCGCATTATAATCGCCCGGTTCCGTCTGCTCCAAGTAGCATGCACGCCTGATGCTGTCAAAGAATGCATGGGCGTCAAGTACACGATTTCTTCTGCAACCGAGTCATTACTGGAGCGAACTGTATTCGGCGTGATTTCCGTTTTCTGGTACGACAAGCTCTGAATTGACATGAAATGGAGCTTACGCGGCGGCTCAGTGTTACGTTTATCCCTGATATAAATATCCATCAATGATGACTGATCTTCTGTCTCTGAGTTATCAGATATGACGAAGATGTAGACATTGTTGAGGTCAAATATCAACGACCTCGTGACCCATCGTGTTGCCGGTCGTCTGATTAGTCTGTCATTGTGAGGTTCCAGATACAAACTTTGCTCTGTTTTCAATCGTGAATTACTCGAGAAGTAACACGTCACTCCTCTGTTTCGCTTTTCGCTCACCCTGTAATTGTAGGTGATGGCAGGAGTGTCGAACTTGGTCACTAGGTTACGGAAATGTCGCATCAGAGAGGCTTTCTTTTTGGTTCTGACATTTTTGTAGTATGCTCCTCTTTTAATGGGACGGCCAGTCGTCCTAGAAAACAATGAACTACATGGAACCAAAGCAATTCGAGGGCTAACATTTACGGGAACTAAAAAAACGATTCAATATCTTTCCGAAAAAACCTTGCCAAGCCTTTCTGCCAGCCTAGGGAGCAATGATTTTCTTCTAGCAATAACTCAGTCCAACAAAAGTGATTTTAAATTATTGCGCGATCAATATTTGATATACATCAGGACTACTACACTTCAAAACTGCGTACCCCAAAAGCTTTCCAAATTGGTGGCACCAGTTGAAAGTTGAGCTGAACATGTCAATTTTGGCAGTGCCTGAAGGCAAGTCACTCGTCAACAGCGCTTCATCATTCACTGCAGTCATTGGCTCACCTCCAGTAGAGGGTCGAATTGAAATTGAGAAGGTAACATCAAAGCTCTGTGATCTAAACGAGATTTTCGAGACAGTTAATTTTCAAGCCCACAAATTGTGGTTGCCAAAATGTTTCGGCAACAACACCGCGTTCCATGAACATCATTACCTGAATCTTGAGTAGGTGTCGTAGTCATCTAAGTAAATATTTTGAGGCTTGAACATAACAGCATGATGGGCATACGGGTTCCCCAAACAATGATACACAAAGTTCCATGACATCTTGGTTCTAGGTGCATGTATAAAGGTTAATGGCGCCTTGCTGCACGTTTGAATAACCACTTTCAGATCTCCTGATAAAATCTGATTATTCGGAACCCAGTCGTAACATACGTTGTTCCACAGGAGTCTTAGTTTCTCCGACTGTTTGTAAGGGTCTAACGTACACAGCCACGTAATTTCAAGTGACTTGTAATAACAATGGAATTTTCCTTGGCATTTAAGGCGTGCTTTGTCCCAAAAAGGCAATGATGGGCTCGGATCAGCGGAGGGTTTGTTGATCAAAGACATTCCATGGCTAACTTCATTCCAACCCGGATCACGATTTTGACCCCAATTAAAGGTCACTGCATCAGAGGTCATGGTGAGGTTATGAAACCATTTCTGACTTCCAGGATTTCTCTTCAACCTAGCTGCTTCAAATTGATTACCAAGGGAATAGTCTGTGAAAGAAAATGAATTTTCGGGTCGCAGAATAGCTACTAAAAATTTTCCCGAAATGTTTCCATTTGCAACTGTATACATTGGATCTGGGTAGTCTCGGATTTTTATTTCAAACAAATCTGAGCTGACTGAAACTAATCGACAAGCTTGGGCACTAAATTGGATGCTTTCAGGAACTGTCGTCGTTCCGTCTAACTCGTTCATGTGTCGTATAATGTTATCACGCCCTGTCATTTCTTCGTCGGCGAAGCATAGTATCTGCCAGTTTTTCATGGTCATACAAACCAAGTTTTGATCTCCTTTGAAATAATCACGTGAACTTTTCCATCTATCGATGTAACACTTGCTGTTCATTTCAAGCAACTGTTGCTTTTTCATTTCATACACCTCATCTGTGCATAACTCCGGGGGGTTACTTAGACAAGCCTCTTGCCAACGCTTTTCGAAATATGACATTCGATCCATTTGTTCGATTTGTTCATCAAGAAGCAACCTGTAATTTTCACTGAGGCGTTTCTCGAATACACTATCATCGATTGACATCTTGAACGACTTCAAGGTAAAATTGAAGTCTGGCCACACGAACTTTGATTTACCTTTAATAGGAGGGTTGGACTCCGAGTTGACTGGACCGTTTACCGGTGACTCATTGCTAGAAGTCGGGTTACTGCTTGATGACGGATAATGTAATGCTTTCAACCATTTTCGAGCCAATGTTAGCTGCGAGAAGTTTTTATGAAAAACATATCCACTCGGAAACTTTATTTGGCATTCGTCAACGTCTAGGGTAATGACATGGTTTTTAGTTGACAGACTAAATTTTTCTCTATCAACGGTAGAAGCGGACGAAATTGTAGAATACTGGAGAAAGAACTCGGAAAACGTGAAAATCGGATCTACCTGAGACGTTTGCACTTTATCGACATGAGTTTTCGGATCCATTGTGTTCAGCAAATTCGACTTTGATTTCAAATTTCGGATCTTATTTGTATCGCAAAAAACGTTAAACGATGAACATTTTATACACAAAGATGAGGGTGAGACTGAAAATTGCAGCGCCGTCAGCTCAAAAGTATTCGAAAAAGACTCTCCGACTATTTGTTCTTCACTTGGATCCAAAGTCTTCGCGTGTATTCCAAACGTCTTACATGTCACCGAAATCAGTGGCAATTTTCTCATTTTGGAGTCAACTTTCCACGCTACAAGTTGTTCACGTGATCCAGTTTCTTGCTTTTGTTTGTTTTTGTATACTTTACTGGGCGATCTTTTCAAAGAGTTTTTCAGGGATGCGTAACATTTGACCATGGTATATACTGTCATATGAGAGCTCGGTTCCCATTCTGAATTAAAATTTCGCAGCTTCACATCGATTGATTTCCATGGACATGCAATTTCCTTTAGCGAAAAATGATACACATTCGCCAAATTCACAACACGATCGTCATGATGAACGGACAAGCAAAGATTTGCAAATTTAAACTCAGCGAAGTCCACGAAACCTCTAGAAATTTCTGTAATTGTTAAAGATACCTTATGAACTTTCCTAATCCCAGGATCTGGGTCAGACAAAAACATACACTTCATTACATTAATCGACGTTATTTCATTATCGAATTTCAGCTTTCTGTGAGAGTCAGATTTTTCGGATTCAGCCTTTGTTTGTTCTTCATCTCCAGCGCCTTTAAAAGATCCATTTCGCATCAAACTCACATTGGAGGCCGATCTCTTCCGAGGGATGAGTCGTTTCACACTTTGAACGAAAGCGTCGATGACAAACGGAGCACTGCATATTTTGATCACATCGATGTACAAACAGTAAGTGAAATGAAAACCACCCCCATTGAGTAAAAATCGAAACTCTTTAAGGCAAAAATGGGGCGAACTCTCCGACGAACCGTAAGTAGTAACATTGAAGTCACTTATGAACCCTTCAAAACTTAATTTCGTATCTAAGTCCAGATTCTGGAACTCTTGCTTCGAATATTTATTACAAGGATCTAACAAGGTATAACTCTTTTCTGAAATAGAAATTTCAGCTGAAACTTCCATTGAGTGCGAACACTCGAGAGAAACCGGGATTAAGTCTATAAGTGGAATCGAATCTTCGTCCGGGTGTATATGGAGTTGCGAGTCTAATTCCGCGAAACCAAGTCGTGCCGACACTGAACGCGGTTTCAAGTCTAAGATCAAATTGAAACTCTGAATTAGCAACGTGCTCACGCTTTTTTCCACAAAATGGCACTCAAACTGTGGAATTACACAGTTGCAGTGGATAGTTTGCTTGTCAATAATAGTAACCGTTACTTGCATGTACGAGAACGTACAGAGAGAACTTTCAATATCTGGGAAAATATCTTCCAATTTGAAGCAATGAATGTTAAAGGTAACAACAGGGGGCAGTTTTGACGTCTTACACAATTGTCTGATAAAGTTATGATGAAAAAATGCGATTAACAATTCTGGTGAGAGTTTAAATTTGGGCTTCAAGCCATTGGAGTTATACAATGAAGCTTCGCTTTTGACATTTAAGATACTATTTAGACTAATTAAAGGCTCCTTGATATCAAAATTCATTGAAGATAATTTATATTTCGTGGAAAATGAGAAGCACTCCTTGTCAAAAATTGACAAAAGGGACAATTCGAAACACGTGAAAACGTTTGTAGGATCCGAACATGCAGCCACGATTTTCGAGATTCTAATCGATCGAATTGTGAACACAATTTTAAACCAATTGTTGGGGGGACTTTCATTTTTCTCTTCTCTCAAAATGACATGTTGCAGATTAACAGTAATTGAGCGAGCAATAAGTGATATTTTAATATTAGTAATTTCGAACTGAATGAATTTGAAAATATAATACAAAGCTGAAGGTAAATAAACATTGCGCAATTCTTGTGGGTTTTTGGACCCTGCTTTCAATTTCTTTACAGAGGTGGCAGCTATTAACGGATGATAAGTGATGTTTAAACCATCGATAATGAAGATAAACGTACGCTTTCTGTAACTTATCGTGATATGATTGGCAACAAGGTGTAACGATTTGAGTGTAATTTGAACATTATGAACTCCTCTCAAATTGATTTTATCAATTGTAATTTTTCCTCTAGAGACAAAATAAGTTCCCCACACGCAGAGTTTCTCGAAGAACCACAGCAGGAGAAAACCCAAAAGGCATAAGAAACATACATCCAACCAATCCATTTTAATGATCCCGAGTGGCGGTTTTAGGTACCATATAGCACCAACAACTTGGAAATTTTAATGGCTGTAATACAAGGTCACATTTCATCCACTGTGGTCTATATAACCTCAGTCCCAGACAAATGATGCGAACATGGACATCTGAAGAAAAAATTACCTTAGGACTGAAAATTCAAAGGTTCATAATTATTTTAGTAGGTTCCCACTGTTCATAAAAAGTCCAATAAAAAATATTTAACATTCAGTTTATAGGCAAGGAAAGAGTGGATACTTTTAGTTATTCAGTCTTTCTTCGCTTCATTTTCTGCTTGCGTTAAAAGTTTAGATTTGATGCCCAGTTTTTGAAGTTCCTCCACAATATCGCCCGATTGATGCATCTGAAGAAGAACGTCACATCCTCCAATAAACTCTCCTTTAAAGTAGACTTGTGGGATGGTTGGCCAGTTTGAAAAAGATTTCACACCCTGAAATCAATCATTGAAATGTCTGATAAAACAAGCATAGCAGAGGATAAAAAACCAAGTATTAAACAAAATAAAAAAACTGCAAAACAGTGATAATTGACTATTCAGCCAGAAAAAAAACTAAAAAAAAACATAACTATGAACTTTTTTAAGTAGCTGATAAAAAGATAGCTACAGCAAACTTTACAATTTACATTATCGTTTCAGTTAAATTAATGTTTTGAACACCAAAACATTAGCTGCTGTAACGATTGAATCAACAGAAGAAAAATTTAACAAAAACAACCTGTCACTGAAAAAAAAAACATGAGCTGCTGATTTGAAGAGGCTTTGAGCAACTCAAACAAAAACATCTGACATCACATAGAAACAATGTTTTATTCTAGAGATTTGAAACTCTAATAATAACCAAACGCTGATGTAGCAAGGATAGTCAGTTACACAATCATAAACATAGCCAACTGACAGTTGGAAAAGAGAAATGAAGAGAGTAAAGGAAACTGAAAAAAAAACTTGTTTTTTCAAAAAACTTCAACTTTTGAAATTCGAATAAAAATTAGATGACCTTAAAGCTCTTTGAATTTGTAGAAACATTTATGATGGACATTTTTCTGTTGAAATTAACCCAATTTGAGAAGACTGGATCAATAGGTAAAATTTTTATTCCACTGGGAAATCTGAAAATTTAATTCTTTTTTGGAAATTTGAAGTCAATCACGTTTTTTGTGGCCTTTACTCGTTTTTTGTTCGATAGGGGAGTTTGCCTTCCTTTTAACAATAAAAATGCAGTGAACTTAAAAAGAAACCACAAGTCAAACCGCGAAAAATCATAATTGAGCGTTAACAAATTTCAAAACTTTTTCGTGAAAAAAAAACAAAAAATGAGCAAGACCTATATCAGAGTTTTCACGACGTTCATTACTCTTAAAAAAAACTAAAACAAAAACAGTTTCCTTGTTTGTCCGTAGTGGAGAGAGGATCTGAAGGAAAGCCTAGAACTTAGACATATTCGATTTTCACAGTAAATTCGGTATATTCGACGCAGTTGTCGCCCAAAAATTGATAGCAAAATAATAAAATCAACACATAAAAATACTTAATACTTTTCTTAAACTTTTCATTCCAAGCAAAGCGCTAAAAAATTTCGAAGGATAATTTTCCTAAGGTAAAACTAAATTTTCACGGCTTAAACAAAAGCTTATCCTCCTATTTTTAGCCTGCTCCCTCGCTGCTTTATTTGCCCATAGAAAATTAGACCAAAAATCAAAGCTTCATGAAATTTCCTGATGTCGTTCGAATGACAACTTACAAGGCTCTAATATGATATATCGCCAGAACCATTCCGACAACAATTATGTAATACGTGATTTAGAGTGGAAAACAAAGAAAAAAAGTACAAAAAAACTGAAGCACCGAAGACAGTCCTCCGCACTGGTCGGGACTATAACAAAATCGTTTCAAACGTACTTCTCTGATTTCATTTTCTTCCAGAACATTATGCGCATTGTAATCCTCAACTCCGTGCATCTTTAAAATCTGTACGACAGCATTACTGAAACCACACTGAGGCGCCGTAGGCACTCCCTTCATGAAAATTACTATATCTTTCGCTGCAACCATATCAGACAACCTCTGTCGTAGTTCACTGGAGAGCGCTGATGTTGAGCATGCTCTTAGAGGGATGAGAAAAGTTGAGGCAATTGTGTAATTACGTGTCAGATTACGTAATACAGACATAATTATTTTGTTTTCTCAATGCCAAGAATCACACATTCAAATCTGCAACAAAATAAAGATTTACAAACAAGCAAACTCAAAGTTATAAATATGAAGATCCTAGTTGAAACAATTATTTTTTCTTCTTCGATCAGACCTGAAACTAATTTATTAAATATATTTCATAACGCAAATTTCAACACAAGAACAAAGTTTCTATTGAGTTTGAAGATTATAAAATCAATCAGAATCGTCACTACTGGGTGGCGAAAGTCTAAAATTTGCACTTTTTCTATCACTAGCAACACTGTCCGCGTCTTTTTTCTTGCGACCGCGTTTCTTCTCTTTTTCCTTTTTATTCCTCTTTTTGCCTCCTTTTGTCGAGCTACTCGAGGAAGCCGAGAAAGGTGGGAGGTACATTGGCTCTCGGTTGGAAAGAAACTCCTCGTCAGTGACATTTTCGATGTTTGGATTAGTGGCGAAGAACTGACTGTCTTCATCTAAGTCTGCTCTGCCTGAAGCATGTACGTCTAGGGTTTGTATTCTTAGGTCTGACTCATCTTCCTCTTCGGTTGGAAAAGGATTGAAAGAAGCAGATGGATTGAGCGAAACATTCCTATCGAATAAATGGCTTTACAAAATCAGAATTAAATCCATGAATTAAGTATTCAAATTAGATTTTTAATGGTTCTGTTTCTGTCACGCAACATACGAAAAGTATATGAAAACACCATCACTAACCTAGAATCACCTCTGTGTCCGTGTGTCGTTTGAGATTGCTCACTGCTTGTTACAGTTACATTCAGCGACTCGATCGAAGTATCCATAGACTGGTCCATGTCATGGTCATGTTGATCCATACCTGTCAACTGTGGCATTTCTCCTCTTGTGATGTCAGCTCTCTTCTCGCGTAGGTTTACAACCACACCTAGCTGTGGCTTGGGCAGACAGTACGGTCTCCCTCTGCCGTAAAGAGCATGGTAGAATTCTATTGCACTGCATCTCAATCTCGAGTCTAGAGTAGGAAAAAAAATACTATCGAGTTCGACGCAGGGTTGCATAAAAATCTGATTTACATTCTCGATTAATTTAAATTCAATTTTTATTATTTTACCTTGATTCATTGATTTAAATCAAGTTGATTTTAATCATGCAACCCTGGTTCGACGCAATTTCAGCAATAAAACAGCTACCTTTCAGCAAATTTATTCAAAAATCACATCAAATACTGTCATTAACGCTGGATTCGCATCGGAAAAAAAAACGTAATAATACGTTGATCGTGCGGACAGTTCCATTTTATACAAAGGTTGCTTGAACAAAATAAGAAAAGACACACCTCCTACTGCGATTTTGTTGACAAGGGTCCACAATCTATCCACGGTGCTTTCCGTGTTAAGTGGGTTGGCATCCGTTCGGTTGAAGGGTGGACTGGCACACAACATCTGCAGAGTACAGTGTCGCACATACACAACCCGATCTGAGGCAAAAAAAATCATCAATATTAGAAAAGGTGAAGGGTAATTTGAACATAGACTTGCGATGCAAATCACACATTGCGGTACAAAATAGTGAATGAAAAAAAGACGAGTCAAAAGAAGTTCTGAAGTTGGAAAAAATTATTTGAAAAATTTTGTATCGGATGAAGTTCATTAACAGCCCCTAAAAACTAGAAAGAATTTACCGAGCGGCAGCGGAGACGAGAAACTCAGTGATAGTAAAAACTGTTTACATTGGAACAGAAGCTATGCTTTAAAAAAAACAATAAAAAGTAAAAACCAATAATTTATTCAAAAATCACATCAAATACTGTCATTAACGCTGGATTCGCATCTGAAAAAAAACGTAATAATACGTTGATCGTGCGGACTGTTCCATTTTATACAAAGGTTGAAAGGTTGCAAATTTGAAAGATCCTGTAGAAGTGAAGATCCTGTAGAAGAAGTGAAGATTTTGTGGACGAAGTTTTTTACGGGAAAAAGTCTAGTACCCGATTGTAATACCCTTGCTTATTTCATGGATAAAAATCAACCCGGAAAATCAATAACTGTTCCAAAGTTATAACAAAGAGCGATCCAGCTATTTAACCTGAATCTGCCACCGAAACTGTTATGTATCATCGAAACAGAATATAATCAAGCATAGAAGCAAGAACTTCTATAGTTGAATGTTTTAATCGCTATTAGACTGTCGAAAGATGAACCCTTCATCATAACATAGTCAGTCGTTCTAATATATCTTAAAATTACAGCTCTTCTCATTTCGATCGACAGACTCAAGGTAGAAGACTGCGTACCATTTTCAATGATATCCAACAAGAACGACAGAATATAGCTGTTGGCATCGTCCCTCGTGAAGTCAATCAGCGATTCAATCGCCGCGAGTCTCACATCTACAAACTGGTGTTCACTGCAGTAGCTCTTGAACAGGGTGGGGTCATTTGGAATGTGTCCGTTCCTCTGTAGATTCCTCATTGCTTTCAAACAACTGACTGTCACCGATAGTTTGTAGGAGGGGACCAGTTTGTCTATGTTGAGATACCGGACTAGTTCTTCCACGATCAGCTTCATTTCTGTAACAAATTAGCATCATCCTTAACAAAAAAAGCTTGAAGCCATGAAAGTCAAAAACAATCGCCTTAAACTCTTGAAAATCGACAAAAAAGTGCAACTTTTATTTGCCGGGACTTGATATCTTTGACGAAGTCTCAATGAAAACCATACATTCAAATCTACGCAAAACGCACCTGGTGTTAGCATATCGGGCGAAGTTACAATGGTCGTGCTGGGCGAAATTGTCTCAGAGAGTGCATCAATCAAATTAGCTTTGTACATTGCATCCGAGTATGCGTTTCTTCTATTATCATTGAACTTAAGCCAGCTCAAGATAAATGAAACAATTTCATCGGGGCAGAATTTCTGCACGTTTTTGTAACTGCCAAGAGATTTTATAAACTCTTTTTGCATGAAGTATTCTTCCAAGTTCGTGAAATCATTGCTTTGCACTATGTCATTGCACGCGCCCGATGAAAACATACTACGCCCAATATCAATTAACATTTGAGTAGCTTGCCATGTTGCCGCACATTTAGTTGCCATGAAAACTAGGGACTCGAATGCAGCTATTCGAACTCGGTAGAAAAAGTTGACTTGTTCGATTGTGAAAACGAGAGCTTGTCGACTTTCTGGGCTCTCGAATTTCTTCAAGTTTTCGACTGCATCAAATTGCGCTAAAGCAACTCTTTCGTACCTAGAAGTATCAACAATTTTTTTCAGAAAAAAAATACTTAAAACTTCAAAAAAAAAACAAATCAATTGGAACATGGAAGAAGCATTGGAAAAGGCCATTTGAATTCAAAAGATATATATTATATTCCAATGAAACATTTCAAGAAAAAATTTAAGATCTCACCTAAGCATCAGCTGCCACAGAACATCAGGCATATTCATTTTCACATGACAAATCAGCTCCATCTGGGGATCGAACCTCAGCCACAAGACTGGCATGTCCTGATCTAAATTCTTGAAGTCGATATCAATCTCTTCGCCATACGCCATCGGTATCTTGCGTTTCTTGATCCTCCTGTTCTTCGAATGACACGATATGTCATGCTTGGACACCAGATCTTCGCAAACTAGAGAGTGTGTAAAAGGTCCATCTAGCTCCTGAATTGAAACTGTAACTGGACCCACGTAGCGAGTTAGACCTTTCTTAGCCAGGGTTACATCGTGTTGTTTCATAACCAGTTCCACGCAATTTCGCTTCCGGTTGAAATCAAAAGAAACAGTAAACTGCGGATGGCCTCCTTTGAAGACCCACATGTTCATGAGTTCGTTCAAGTCTTTTCCGCAGAGGGAACTGACGCTGTTAAGAAGAGAGTTTGTCGATATTTGCATGCTGCTCCAGGAAGTACATGCCTGTTTGGAGACATTTATAGCAAGAGATATCATCTTGTTGATTACCTGAAATGTAATGATTAGGAAAAGATTTGCAGTTATGGTCGAAAACATTTGAACAACTTGAGGCAATGAGAGCAATCAAACTACAAAATATAACAATTTTTATAGAAAACCCTCATTGGAACCATAGTATCTATGCTTCACTACTAGCTATTGATTCCATTTTCACTTTTTGCAGGCAAATTTTGAATTCTTAACTAGCTTAGCTAATTAGCTAAAAAATAGGACGTTTAGCACCTACCAGAAGCAAACAATTATGATGAATTTCTACCTGTGTAAGTATTTCAGGTCCAATATTCTCTCCGACCAGTCTAACCACAAGAAAAGCTTTGAGTTTCATCATCTCCACGTAGCTGGGTGACATAAGGTTGGCATACAATTTGCACGCATTCACGTTGTCACTCTTATGACCATTCGACAGGGCCAAACTGTTGTCCAAGATGATTTCTCCATTCGCTTCTTCATATTCACACACCTATATAAAGACTAAGAATTAAAATATTTTAACTTACACTTAACCACATATCAATGTTGAAAATGACCCTTGGAGATATCTAGACAAGATATAACGATAATCCAGACCATTTCAAAAAAAAGAATCTTTTTTTTTGCTCAATAATTTACGCAAAAGGCAATACAGTCGTTTCCTGTGAGCATTAAAGTTAAAAGTTTTTAATGTTTTAAAACATTTGTAACGTTTACGTAGAGTTTTCCGAAAAGTTAATAGAAACGAACACCTTTCTGATGGTTTCCCTGACAGTGTACAGATACTCATTCAGTCCGAATATCTCCTTCTCAAACTGGGCAGCGATGTACTTGCTGATTCCGAAGACAGTCCACGAGTCACTCCAGCTAGCCGATGCAATGAAGCAGCCGAAAAACTGGGAGGCGATTGCATGACCCAGAAGCCTAAGAGGCGATGAAGAGATGTGAGAGGTGGAATTTACTACTCGATTTATATTCAACTCGTCCTCTTAAAGTGATCACATCTTCAAACGTTCTTCTAACTTTTCAATTCAAAGATGGTCTAGATCCATGTATAAAACAAAGTTGATCAAACCAATTTAACGAAAACTTATTTTGGATATTTCATTTAGCGCTTGTTTGGCAAAAAAGTTTTTTTTTTAAATAGAAATATTGTGCAAAATGTTGAAACAAAATTTACACATGTTGTCAATCATGCCTCACTTACTTAATATCTACGCTATCGTATAATTCCCGAATCTCACCACTTATTAAAAACGACACTGAATTGAACAAAAAAATTTTAAAAAAAGAATCAATTTTTTCAGTGCGAAACTTCTGATAGGAGTAGTAAATTTCCTCAAAGTATGCGGTACTTGGTCTATTATCTTCTCCCTGTGCAACAGCGCAACGCTACCAATACACATTCCTGCGAACGGCAAACACTGCGTAAACGCTTCTTCGACAAAAACAGTTTTAAACTGCTGAAAAGGCAATCTCGAACTTAGATGTTGCTCTAGGAACTCAATACAATCAACAACATTTTCCACTGTGCTGGTCAACGCCGCGCTCAGTCCTGGCGAACAAAAATGTGTGATCTCCGACGATTTCTGATCCGGCATCATTTCAAAATCTCCGACTACAATTCCGATTTTATTCGCACAAACTGGGATGTCAACATGATAAATGAAGGTCAAAAGGTTACCCGATTCGTATTCAACGACGTCTAAAAGTTCGCCAGAACATATCGCTAAAAGGTCATTTGGAACCGTGACTTCGACTCTCCACGTACAAGGCATTAGAGGCGAGTCAACATGTGGGAACCACAGCTTATTACAGTTTTCGTAATAATACGTAAACATATGTTTATGTCTTATAATTCGCTGTTTGTTTTCACAAGTGGGTTTGTTGGTCTGCTTAGGTACTAAAGAAGGCGAATTGACGAAGTGAACTCCTGCGTTTTTCGACTCTAATGAAAATTCAATTCTGACTGCCAATTCTTCAGATCGTTCGACTTCAGCGCGCATATCGTACGGAACTGTAAAGCTCAGCTCTCCATTCCCTAAAACAAACTCTTTTCGTCTGCAATCGGTTCAATCAAGTTTTTCCACCAATCACCCACGTAGACACAGAGGCTATGCAGAGCATCGAAACACTTGCGATACAATGAAAACAATGCATCACAAGATATCGAAAAGACAAAAACAAGGACGTCTTTTCCTCAACAAAATTAAGCTGAAAAAATAGCGTGAAAAAATTCCGAAAAGATGTTTCTACAAAACTATCATACCTCTCTTGAACGATGTTCATTAAAAGCCTTACCGAATCAATGGCCGAGCGTCAACTAAGACGCAAAAACTAGGGTCGACCCCTGTTATGCCGAAAACGAAACTGTACACATAAAATATTCTAGCTATAATTTTTTTGTTATTTTGACCTATCCCTCCTCGGGGCTTAAAACAACAACGACAACCTACCCAACCTTCCTTGACTAGGCAACATCATTATAAACAATTCACTCTTGAAACTCAGCGACTTAAATTGACCAGCGATACAATTAGAATATTGAACACAGAGGCTAAACTTCGCTTGGCAAACAATAGCGGGAACACGACAAAAAGCATCTCTATAAAACGCAATAAGAGACACTAGAAATAAGCCTCGAATTAGCAAAAACAATCGACAACGTCTGAGATGCGATCCTGCAACCGAGAGATTAAGATTCTCACGCAATACATACTAAGCTACGGGCGCTTAATACGCACCAAACACTAGCCACAAGTAAAGCAGAGAACATATGCTATGCATTCTCCAATGCTAGTGAATTTTTCCAAATAAGTGAACACTTTTATTTGCGAAAGGCTAGAGAAAAAGAATGTTCGTAATAAAACACTAAGCTGACCGCTAGTGTAATTACAAGATATTGAAAAGAAAAAAGAAGAAAGTCATATCCTTGTCTCAAACCATGTTCATAAACAGCATTAACAAGCACTGAAACACAATGAACGAACGGCAACTAGGGCGAAAAAATTGGGTTGACGCTCGTTGAACCAAAATCGAAACTAGACACACACATTCAAGAAAAAATTTTTGAAGTATAATTTTTAAGACCTGTGAAACAAAAATTTTTTATCTCTGCGAAACAAAAAAACATACTTCACCGTTCAAACTGCGCAACTCAGTTGACAAAGCCGATATAACATAAGCCGAACCCGTTTAACCGGAAAAAAATGAAATTTTTACACAGGCGAAGCTTCGCTTCGCAAACAGTTGCGAGAACACGACAAAACACGCATCCCTCTAAATGGCAATAACAAAAATTCGAACCTGCGCCCTTGAATTTAAAAGTCTCACGCACTAACCACTCAGCCACGGGAGGTTATTAACCACCAAACAGTGACAATTTCCAAATAAGTTAACACTTTTATTGAATCATTTTATTTGCGAGTTAGTTGGAAGAAAAAGAAGGTTCGTAATAATACACTAAGTTGATCGCAAGTGTAAAAGTTATTAAAAATCAGAGTTGGTGAATTTACAAACTACAGAGCAACTTTCAATTATAGTAAAAAACTGTTTGAAACAAAAAATTAAAAAATCCAGCTTTGAAAAAGAACCACTTGGAAAGCCTACCAGATAAAACTTTATAGTTTTATTTATATTTTTATATAAATATAGATATATATTTGAAAAACTGAATTACTACCCCATTTGAAATAAAAAGTGAAACCATGACGGCTCTGTCTTAGTTTTTTGCAGCTTTTTATTTCATTTCCTTCAGCATAATGATGAACTATTGAAACTTCCATCTTTTCTAACTGGGGTCGAAAATACTTGCAATGTAAAACCAAATTAAATTTAAAGAAGGATAAACCAACCGATGTCAAAATTGGTAGCTTCAATGGCTTGCATGTATGCTCCACAGAAGTAGTCCAAGTTCCTCTGTTTGATATCATCAGGACATACCAGAAGAGTCGGATCCCTGTAGTCAAACGACACCTGTCTGGAACCATTGAGACAAACTCTGTATAATCTGGAGTGCCTGCAGTTCAAGGTCACTTTCTCCAGTGGGAATCTGGTCGCTTTTAAGTTAATGTCTACAAAACCGAAGAGTGAGTGCTTTTCGAAATTGACCTCCCGGATGCAAAGAGTTTGGTGGACAAGGCGAAAGGGTGGCTCGTTAATTTCAAAAGACATTGTGAAGATGTTCAACTATTTAACAATGAAGATGACATTTAGCCAAAACTACTTGTCATGTCACCTCTAAAATATACACCATCCAAAATACCCACCTCAAAATTTATTTCTAACTTCAGTTCGTATTTTCGCAAGCAGTTCGTGAGCTTTGGTATCTTAACAAGATTAGGTTCATTGTGACTATGGTAGCTCAACTGTTTCAAAAATCAAAAACTCGAGGTTAACAAGAATTCATTCTTGTCTGAGAATTAATCAATTAATAATTAATAATAACCAATATCATCATAGCAGTGTTTGTTTCGTAGTAATTTTGAAAAATAATTTGAGAAACCAAAAGCAGTAATTGTTCTATAAACGATGTAAACGTATCTAGCGGTTTAACATATGAAAATAAATGTTGATATAAACGAAGAGTAAGATTATTAACAACAAACGAACAAAGGATGAGCGCCTTCCATTTTTCAGATGATTAGGTCATACAGTATCACAATAAAAGCTCGGATATAAGATGGTGGTTGGTTGAAAGCAAGTCAAACAGTTAATACTCCAGAATTGATGGGAACCCTCACTTGTTTTGAATTCAGGGGTCAAACTTCGATTTTAACAATTCTCAAAGTGACCCTTTTTGCTGATCAAAACGAAACATCATTTACAATATTACCATAGACTTTTTAGTTTTGCACATACAGCAGTAGTTTTTCCTTTATTAAAGGCCAAACTAATTTATTTGCACCAACGAAACGAAAAGATAGGCAGCAAATATGGTGTTTTGGTACAGATTTTAAGCATATTAACAAATTCGGCTCTAGATATTTTAATTGTTTCACGCAACGATTCCGAAAATGTCCAAGACTCACTAGTGCCTTGACTATGACGACAGTATTCGACAACAAATCAATCTGCTGGAATGACTCAATATTCATAATTTTCATCACTCTGAGTGATACCGATAGCACAGATGAACAAAAAGTTGAACTAAGCATGTAAAAATAGAGCTGGATCTCACAGAAAAATCGAGTTCTGTGAAAAAATATTGAGAAAATAAACGCTTTTAGTGTATCTATTATAAGCACAGTTAGTTCAAACAGACGTTAGTTAGCCCAACAGGTGGATATTCGTTATATGTATGAATTACAAAATTCCTCTAACTTAGAGAAGGGAAGTTAACAAACGTAACATGAATAGGCGTAGCTCATATTTTTCAATCGTTGAAGCAGCTTTTGATGACAAAATTTTCTGCTCGCACATTCCTCTATTCGACTCAATTATACACTAGGTATTGTCAGACGAAACGGATTTTGTTTTAAAAACTTCAGATATTTGTTTTTTTTACACTGAAGCGGAAAAAGAAAAAGGCTTTCAACTTTTGAATGCAGTTCAGATAAAACTGTGAATACCAAATTACGTTTAAAGCATCTTCCCTAGATGAACACTTAAATCAGTTATTTTCACCGTCCACTCCATTGTGGCTGCTGTAGTTTAAGTGCAAACTAAGGTGTCCCTGCTCATTAGCTGGGGCTATTGTGGAAGAGTCAGTTTGGGAAACATTATTTCCATTTGCTGAAGAGTTCGCAACATATCCCATATTAAACCCTGTCGACCCCATAACACCATTCCTTGTACCATCGCCAGTACCGTACGTCATTCCCCCTCTAGCACCTCTGCCTCCATGAGCACCCATCGTTGCCGACGGGAACTGACGATTCCCAGACATCGAGGATCCAGAGTGGTGATAGTTCCTCCCATGTCCAGAGGGTTCAGGGAAATGGTTCTGTGATTCGGCCTCCTTTTCTCGACTTTCGTAGTGTGAGAAGTCGTCAAAGAGACTGGTTGCATTCACGTTGTCACTCTTATGACCATTCGACAGGGCCAAACTGTTGTCCAAGATGATTTCTCCATTCGCTTCTTCATATTCACACACCTATATAAAGACTATGAATTAAAATATTTTAACTTACACTTAACCACATATCAATGTTGAAAATGACCCTTGGAGATATCTAGACAAGATATAACGATAATCCAGACCATTTCAAAAAAAAGAATCTTTTTTTTTGCTCAATAATTTACGCAAAAGGCAATACAGTCGTTTCCTGTGAGCATTAAAGTTAAAAGTTTTTAATGTTTTAAAACATTTGTAACGTTTACGTAGAGTTTTCCGAAAAGTTAATAGAAACGAACACCTTTCTGATGGTTTCCCTGACAGTGTACAGATACTCATTCAGTCCGAATATCTCCTTCTCAAACTGGGCAGCGATGTACTTGCTGATTCCGAAGACAGTCCACGAGTCACTCCAGCTAGCCGATGCAATGAAGCAGCCGAAAAACTGGGAGGCGATTGCATGACCCAGAAGCCTAAGAGGCGATGAAGAGATGTGAGAGGTGGAATTTACTACTCGATTTATATTCAACTCGTCCTCTTAAAGTGATCACATCTTCAAACGTTCTTCTAACTTTTCAATTCAAAGATGGTCTAGATCCATGTATAAAACAAAGTTGATCAAACCAATTTAACGAAAACTTATTTTGGATATTTCATTTAGCGCTTGTTTGGCAAAAAAGTTTTTTTTTTAAATAGAAATATTGTGCAAAATGTTGAAACAAAATTTACACATGTTGTCAATCATGCCTCACTTACTTAATATCTACGCTATCGTATAATTCCCGAATCTCACCACTTATTAAAAACGACACTGAATTGAACAAAAAAATTTTAAAAAAAGAATCAATTTTTTCAGTGCGAAACTTCTGATAGGAGTAGTAAATTTCCTCAAAGTATGCGGTACTTGGTCTATTATCTTCTCCGTGTGCAACAGCGCAACGCTACCAATACACATTCCTGCGAACGGCAAACACTGCGTAAACGCTTCTTCGACAAAAACAGTTTTAAACTGCTGAAAAGGCAATCTCGAACTTAGATGTTGCTCTAGGAACTCAATACAATCAACAACATTTTCCACTGTGCTGGTCAACGCCGCGCTCAGTCCTGGCGAACAAAAATGTGTGATCTCCGACAATTTCTGATCCGGCATCATTTCAAAATCTCCGACTACAATTCCGATTTTATTCGCACAAACTGGGATGTCAACATGATAAATGAAGGTCAAAAGGTTACCCGATTCGTATTCAACGACGTCTAAAAGTTCGCCAGAACATATCGCTAAAAGGTCATTTGGAACCGTGACTTCGACTCTCCACGTACAAGGCATTAGAGGCGAGTCAACATGTGGGAACCACAGCTTATTACAGTTTTCGTAATAATACGTAAACATATGTTTATGTCTTATAATTCGCTGTTTGTTTTCACAAGTGGGTTTGTTGGTCTGCTTAGGTACTAAAGAAGGCGAATTGACGAAGTGAACTCCTGCGTTTTTCGACTCTAATGAAAATTCAATTCTGACTGCCAATTCTTCAGATCGTTCGACTTCAGCGCGCATATCGTACGGAACTGTAAAGCTCAGCTCTCCATTCCCTAAAACAAACTCTTTTCGTCTGCAATCGGTTCAATCAAGTTTTTCCACCAATCACCCACGTAGACACAGAGGCTATGCAGAGCATCGAAACACTTGCGATACAATGAAAACAATGCATCACAAGATATCGAAAAGACAAAAACAAGGACGTCTTTTCCTCAACAAAATTAAGCTGAAAAAATAGCGTGAAAAAATTCCGAAAAGATGTTTCTACAAAACTATCATACCTCTCTTGAACGATGTTCATTAAAAGCCTTACCGAATCAATGGCCGAGCGTCAACTAAGACGCAAAAACTAGGGTCGACCCCTGTTATGCCGAAAACGAAACTGTACACATAAAATATTCTAGCTATAATTTTTTTTTATTTTGACCTATCCCTCCTCGGGGCTTAAAACAACAACGACAACCTACCCAACCTTCCTTGACTAGGCAACATCATTATAAACAATTCACTCTTGAAACTCAGCGACTTAAATTGACCAGCGATACAATTAGAATATTGAACACAGAGGCTAAACTTCGCTTGGCAAACAATAGCGGGAACACGACAAAAAGCATCTCTATAAAACGCAATAAGAGACACTAGAAATAAGCCTCGAATTAGCAAAAACAATCGACAACGTCTGAGATGCGATCCTGCAACCGAGAGATTAAGATTCTCACGCAATACATACTAAGCTACGGGCGCTTAATACGCACCAAACACTAGCCACAAGTAAAGCAGAGAACATATGCTATGCATTCTCCAATGCTAGTGAATTTTTCCAAATAAGTGAACACTTTTATTTGCGAAAGGCTAGAGAAAAAGAATGTTCGTAATAAAACACTAAGCTGACCGCTAGTGTAATTACAAGATATTGAAAAGAAAAAAGAAGAAAGTCATATCCTTGTCTCAAACCATGTTCATAAACAGCATTAACAAGCACTGAAACACAATGAACGAACGGCAACTAGGGCGAAAAAATTGGGTTGACGCTCGTTGAACCAAAATCGAAACTAGACACACACATTCAAGAAAAAATTTTTGAAGTATAATTTTTAAGACCTGTGAAACAAAATTTTTTTATCTCTGCGAAACAAAAAAACATACTTCACCGTTCAAACTGCGCAACTCAGTTGACAAAGCCGATATAACATAAGCCGAACCCGTTTAACCGGAAAAAAATGAAATTTTTACACAGGCGAAGCTTCGCTTTGCAAACAGTTGCGAGAACACGACAAAACACGCATCCCTCTAAATGGCAATAACAAAAATTCGAACCTGCGCCCTTGAATTTAAAAGTCTCACGCACTAACCACTCAGCCACGGGAGGTTATTAACCACCAAACAGTGACAATTTCCAAATAAGTTAACACTTTTATTGAATCATTTTATTTGCGAGTTAGTTGGAAGAAAAAGAAGGTTCGTAATAATACACTAAGTTGATCGCAAGTGTAAAAGTTATTAAAAATCAGAGTTGGTGAATTTACAAACTACAGAGCAACTTTCAATTATAGTAAAAAACTGTTTGAAACAAAAAATTAAAAAATCCAGCTTTGAAAAAGAACCACTTGGAAAGCTTACCAGATAAAACTTTATAGTTTTATTTATATTTTTATATAAATATAGATATATATTTGAAAAACTGAATTACTACCCCATTTGAAATAAAAAGTGAAACCATGACGGCTCTGTCTTAGTTTTTTGCAGCTTTTTATTTCATTTCCTTCAGCATAATGATGAACTATTGAAACTTCCATCTTTTCTAACTGGGGTCGAAAATACTTGCAATGTAAAACCAAATTAAATTTAAAGAAGGATAAACCAACCGATGTCAAAATTGGTAGCTTCAATGGCTTGCATGTATGCTCCACAGAAGTAGTCCAAGTTCCTCTGTTTGATATCATCAGGACATACCAGAAGAGTCGGATCCCTGTAGTCAAACGACACCTGTCTGGAACCATTGAGACAAACTCTGTATAATCTGGAGTGCCTGCAGTTCAAGGTCACTTTCTCCAGTGGGAATCTGGTCGCTTTTAAGTTAATGTCTACAAAACCGAAGAGTGAGTGCTTTTCGAAATTGACCTCCCGGATGCAAAGAGTTTGGTGGACAAGGCGAAAGGGTGGCTCGTTAATTTCAAAAGACATTGTGAAGATGTTCAACTATTTAACAATGAAGATGACATTTAGCCAAAACTACTTGTCATGTCACCTCTAAAATATACACCATCCAAAATACCCACCTCAAAATTTATTTCTAACTTCAGTTCGTATTTTCGCAAGCAGTTCGTGAGCTTTGGTATCTTAACAAGATTAGGTTCATTGTGACTATGGTAGCTCAACTGTTTCAAAAATCAAAAACTCGAGGTTAACAAGAATTCATTCTTGTCTGAGAATTAATCAATTAATAATTAATAATAACCAATATCATCATAGCAGTGTTTGTTTCGTAGTAATTTTGAAAAATAATTTGAGAAACCAAAAGCAGTAATTGTTCTATAAACGATGTAAACGTATCTAGCGGTTTAACATATGAAAATAAATGTTGATATAAACGAAGAGTAAGATTATTAACAACAAACGAACAAAGGATGAGCGCCTTCCATTTTTCAGATGATTAGGTCATACAGTATCACAATAAAAGCTCGGATATAAGATGGTGGTTGGTTGAAAGCAAGTCAAACAGTTAATACTCCAGAATTGATGGGAACCCTCACTTGTTTTGAATTCAGGGGTCAAACTTCGATTTTAACAATTCTCAAAGTGACCCTTTTTGCTGATCAAAACGAAACATCATTTACAATATTACCATAGACTTTTTAGTTTTGCACATACAGCAGTAGTTTTTCCTTTATTAAAGGCCAAACTAATTTATTTGCACCAACGAAACGAAAAGATAGGCAGCAAATATGGTGTTTTGGTACAAATTTTAAGCATATTAACAAATTCGGCTCTAGATATTTTAATTGTTTCACGCAACGATTCCGAAAATGTCCAAGACTCACTAGTGCCTTGACTATGACGACAGTATTCGACAACAAATCAATCTGCTGGAATGACTCAATATTCATAATTTTCATCACTCTGAGTGATACCGATAGCACAGATGAACAAAAAGTTGAACTAAGCATGTAAAAATAGAGCTGGATCTCACAGAAAAATCGAGTTCTGTGAAAAAATATTGAGAAAATAAACGCTTTTAGTGTATCTATTATAAGCACAGTTAGTTCAAACAGACGTTAGTTAGCCCAACAGGTGGATATTCGTTATATGTATGAATTACAAAATTCCTCTAACTTAGAGAAGGGAAGTTAACAAACGTAACATGAATAGGCGTAGCTCATATTTTTCAATCGTTGAAGCAGCTTTTGATGACAAAATTTTCTGCTCGCACATTCCTCTATTCGACTCAATTATACACTAGGTATTGTCAGACGAAACGGATTTTGTTTTAAAAACTTCAGATATTTGTTTTTTTTACACTGAAGCGGAAAAAGAAAAAGGCTTTCAACTTTTGAATGCAGTTCAGATAAAACTGTGAATACCAAATTACGTTTAAAGCATCTTCCCTAGATGAACACTTAAATCAGTTATTTTCACCGTCCACTCCATTGTGGCTGCTGTAGTTTAAGTGCAAACTAAGGTGTCCCTGCTCATTAGCTGGGGCTATTGTGGAAGAGTCAGTTTGGGAAACATTATTTCCATTTGCTGAAGAGTTCGCAACATATCCCATATTAAACCCTGTCGACCCCATAACACCATTCCTTGTACCATCGCCAGTACCGTACGTCATTCCCCCTCTAGCACCTCTGCCTCCATGAGCACCCATCGTTGCCGACGGGAACTGACGATTCCCAGACATCGAGGATCCAGAGTGGTGATAGTTCCTCCCATGTCCAGAGGGTTCAGGGAAATGGTTCTGTGATTCGGCCTCCTTTTCTCGACTTTCGTAGTGTGAGAAGTCGTCAAAGAGACTGGTTGCGTGTTCGTATTTGTGGAACGTCTTCAGAATGAGTTTACCCTTTTCAAACGGGATTTCTTGAGTATCGCGAGAGTTAGTAACCGGTTTGTTCTCGTTATTTTCTAATCTGATGTGCCTCAAGCTGGAGTTAGGAACGTCTTTGACGAAGATCCATTTGACGTCGAAGGATCCTTTCCATTTACTTTGGGACCAGACTTTTTGATGTGCGTCTAAGTCGACATAAGATTTCATCTCAGCGACTCCGCAAAAGTGTCCAGAACCGTTTACACTATACATCAAGTACAAAGGTCCCTTTCCTTGTATGCGATTGTACGCTTCATTTAACTTACGATTTCCACGGTCGGTTGAGCACCATATGTTGTACTTAATAGATCTGTGGATATCGTCTTCACTGTAGCTTTTAATAACGAAGAACTTCGCCTCTTTAGGGTTGCAATCGAACTCGGTTGGGTTGTAGTCGTTCTGTTGCCGCAGTTTGTGCAACACTTCGTTTTCCTTCTCACTGGGAGTGGGAACTATCTTTCCTGACCGCGTTAACGTCTTATTGCTCGCGTTTATCTCATCTCCATACTGCCAGGTGCCTAAAATACACAATCATTTCAAATCTACAATATAATGGTGACCCATAATCCAGAATCATTTTCAGGAAAGTTTTTGACCAGATCAGGCATTTGAAGTTATCCACATTTTTTTAAAATTAATCTGTGTAATTGATTTCGCGGCATTAATTCACTATATGCATCACTCTAATTGAGTGTTCTAACGCCAACTAGCGGTCCAAATACTAAGATATTTTAACTATTTGATTTAGCAAACACACCAACTTTTTAGATGCAACTACACAACCATCTCTCCAAATTTCTCTATAGTCTGATTTTTAAGGACAATGAAGCTAAGCAAAATTTTCAAGTCGATTTAACTATTAGAGATATCCGAAGTTTCCACAAGGCTGCTTTAACTACTGCATTTCCTCGCAACTTCCCCGGTATAGCCTCACCTATATCTAACATCTGGTGCTGTGGTTGTCTGTGATAATAGGGATTATGGCTCTGCTGGTAATGCGACATGCCTCCAGTTGCGCCCACTGCATTCGAAACAGAGGTCAAATTGTTAGCCAAGGCTCCAGTTGACACATGCGGCTGCATTGAGTTGCCCCCTGCTGACCTATGTCTTGACTTCTGGTTGTGGTAGTTCTTACCTGCATGAGAAACCGAACCGTGCTGAACCCCATAATTGTTCAGATTGGGGGAGAACAAATGTGGATTTGCGGCTGCCCCAAGTTGGGCCTGATAGTTTGCGAAGTCCAGAGGATGAACACCAGTCATGGCACTTATTAGGGCTAAATTCGCCATGTCCTGTTCCAAAAACTTCAGGTTGTTTGCTGTATCTGCAGGTGAACCCAGGGATGCTCCAAGGTCAAACTGACCCGAGGGGTGCGTTGCCCATGGTGGGTAATCGGGGGATACGGGCGAGAAAAAGGCGGGGTACTCGACTGCCGCAGCTGCATGTTGCGGGGATAGATATGGTGCTGTTTGGAGGTTGAAATCAAGCGTCGAATATCCTTCTAACTGAGAATTCGGAGTAGGCGGAAGATCCGATGAAGCGTATACGAAAGGCGGAAAATAGGAGGACTGACTGTTTTCTCCCACACCGACTGTCAAACCACTTGTCGGATCATCGGCACCATCCGTTTCAAATGATCTCGAATCATCGACAGTGTGGTTATCAGCAGACTCGGATTCACCATTACAGGCTTCGGTCGAGGCAAGGAGGCCGTCATTGGATGACCAACAACCGGATGTTGTATTCGGTTTCTGACTCTGGTCTTGGATAACTGTACCAGATATAGAGGATTGCAGATCCAAAGACATTGTGCCTACATCAGGCGCTTCGTGCATGGCTATTTGGTTTATTGTTGAGCTGCAACAAACTCAAGATTAAAATATTTGTTCGACTCCAAATAAATCAAAAAAAAACTAATGAACCAAGAAATCACCTTGTTTCTGTGGTCCCAGGCATTGAGATCTCATTGCCATCTGTGAAATTGTGAATTTGATTTGTCGATTCCTCTTCAGGAAGACTCAATTCTGAAAACGGTAATAAAGCTAGCTTCCATTGACTTAAATAGAGCTATAGAGTTGTCCAATTATAAATTTAAACATTATTATGGCAACTAATCATATTCTGCAATTACTCTTTAGACACGTAGCTTTTAAATTTTAAGCAATTGTAACGAATCTCTCACCATGACGATCCTCATTCAATCTGTCTTCAGATGTTCCACCAAGAGCATGAACAGATTCGGTGCCTGTTTCCAATGGATTCATGGTAGTCAGGTTCTAAACATATAGTGGCCTATTGCTCTGCAAGCCAAAAATGTTTCACTGGTTTGTGTCCCACGTGAACATTTGTAGATTCGTAAATAATCTTTAAGTAAATTCTTCGAGCACAAACAAAAAAGTCAACGAATCATTTACATAGACTTCTAAATACTTTACCATTTTAGAACATAATTATCTCAGACCACTTGGTTCATTGGCACTTAATAATAACCTCTGAGACCGAGACGGGGCTCAGACTCGGAACTTCAGATCAAGAGTCACTTGCTGTAACCGCTTAGCCATGGCGTCTTTCAACTAATTTCACGTATACTTTTTTCTTGGACGTCAGGTAGCTAAACATGCGCTTCAATTTTTGCGTTGACAACAAAGAAGGCCGAATTTTTTTCTAACTCTACGTTAGCTCGTCTGTAATAAATTCGTTCTTGATTATTCGAACTTACTTCAGCGTTTGTAGGCTCCATTTAATCTTCTTCTCTTCTGTCGTATCTTGAGAGCATCAAAACCAATACATGGTTAAACAAAGTGGGATCCCCTGAGCGTCTAACATCCACAAACCTACTCTGAAATGAAATTTCATCACGTACACCGAATTCATATTCAATTTGCTCAGCAGATCACACAAAAGCGTTGCCTCGACTACAGACGAAGAAAGCAGGGCTAAAATTAAATCCAACAGACTCGGCCAACAATTGAGAAATGCAGCACAGTTTATTTCAAGATTGAAAAAATCTAAAGAATCAATTTGAGCCTTTGGCCAGTATGGCGTTCTGAAAAACATTTCAAAAGAGTTTACTTGACCTTTCTTTTTACTAAATTGAATTGAATTTATCTCAAAAAGAAATCAAAAACAGAATTGGAACCTCCCGTACATTGGATGCAAATCACTA